ATGGAGGCAATCTTCTTGAAACTCTGGATTCTGATAGAGAGCCAGCCATGAGACTTGGACCTGAGTGCAAAAATGGAGGCTCTAGACCCGTCCAGAGGTGAGATTTTGAGATCCCACGAACCCACCATCTTTATAATAGCATAAATGCTATGTGGGATCTCAATATCTCAGCTCTGGAAGGGTCTAGAGCCTCCATTTTTGCACTCAGGTCCAAGTCTCATGGCCCTCTATCAGAATCCAGAGTTTCAAGAAGATCAGAGAAACTCAAAATGTCGACACGAAAAAAACTCAAAGGGGGTACCCGGTACCCCTTTGAGTTTTTTCGTGTCGAATTTTTTTTTTAAGTATCGATTTTTTTTTTTAAGAAGCAATTTATTCAGAAAAAGTAGCGATTCATTTAGAAAAAGTAGCGATTCTTTTTTTAAAAATGTAGTGATTAATTTGGAAAAAGTAGCAATTAACTTTGAAAAAGTACAAATTCTTTTAGATTTGTAATTCTTTTAGAAAGTAGCGATTCTTTTTTTTTTAAAGTAGTGGTTAATTTTGAAAAAGTAGCGATTCTTTTTTAGAAAGTATTGATTCACTTTGAAAAAGTAGCGATTCACTTATAAAGAAGTATCGATTCAGCAACTCAAACATACGAAACCAGCAATTACTAAAAAAGATTTTGCACGGGCATTGCACTAGTATAAGGAAATTGCAACAAAAAATGTAATCCCCAAGTTTTTCAAATAAAAACTTAGGCGATAAATAGACTATATTCCATATAGTCCCAAAAAATAAATATATGACTTTATTGAATATACTTATTTGAATAATGGCCAGCAGAATATTTTAATTCCCTGATTCAAAAACGAATAAAAGATAAAGTTTTTGAGCTCATTTTTGAACACTATGAACACACAATTGATTGTATTCCCTTTGAGACAGCTCAGAATGATTGGAGTTATTTTGTTATTTTTGTTAATTTGGTAGTTCACCCAAAAATGATAATTATATCATCATTTTCTTACCCGCACATTGTTCCAAACCTGTATTACTATCTTTGAAGAAACTATTGGTGGTTTCCATGCAATTTCCAAAGAACTGGGCCTCATGCTTTGAATTATAAAGGTTGTTATAATGCATTTTTATAAACTGTTTTGCCTTTTGAAGCCATATCTTAAGTTTGAGAGACGGACTGACTTTTAATTGTTATTCTCTGATTATCTTTCCATAAGATGAGCGATTAACCGCTGTAACATCGAGTCAGCAAGTTCAACTTTAGAATAGGAGTTGGTTAACACAATTTAAAATATCTTTTTAAACAAACTTATTACAATTTAAAATAACTGTTATTTTTTTCTGTAAAACAAATGTAATTTATTCCTGTGGGGCGGACTGGGACCAAAAAGTGGCCCTGGACTTTCTGGCCCACAGCAGCCCACCGTACAGTGGCCGAGAAAGCTCAACGTACTGCAACTGAAGCAAATACTTGCAAATAGAAAAAAACACCTGCAAATTAAAAAAAAAAACATTGTCATCAGTTTCACAACACATGTGTGCTGCAAATACAGAAATGCACTGCAAAAGTTCACAACACAACCAAATACAGAAACGCGCTGCAAATAACACAGACCACAACGGAAATGTTTCCAGGTAAAAAAAATAGACCTAAGTGATGAAGCCATAGACTCTAAAAAAATAGGACGAAGCGCTAAAATATGTGTGCATGTGTGTCTCAACTTTAAAACTTTGGACCCTACATTACCTAATATTTCTTATGAAACTTTTCTTTATGAAAAATTTAAACATAACATGAAACAATTTTTACTGTGCATTGGATTAAAGATAAAGATCTTTATTTATTTAGTTAAGTTTTCAGCTCATTGTTCTTTTCTCATTTGTATTCTAATGACATTGAACATATTGTTAATACATTTTGAATATTGTACACAGGTTGTATGTCATAAAAATTTATTCTCTGTATGTTTTGCAAAAATAAATAAATACATAAAGTAGAATTTTACGCTACAAGGGTTAGTCACTTATTTGGTTCCCCTGGAAAGATTTCCATTGTGGTCTGTGTTATTTGCGCGTTTCTGTATTTGGGCGGTGTTGTGATTATTTGGTGGACACGTGTGTTGTGAAACTGATGAAGATGTTTTCTTAATTTGCAGGTGTTTGTTCTATTTACATGCGTTTTCATTCAGTTCCAACGCGTTGAGCTTTCTCGGCCTCCGTACCACCACATCCCACATCAGAATATTTTTAACACCACTTATAGCATAAAATTATAACACAATACAAAGCTATATGCTATTTAAACATTTATTTTAAATAACACAACGCTAGTCAGGGAGAGCTAACTTTCGCCTTCAGAACCATGTTTAGAACCTGTTGAACGGCTACTCTTCGCGCCAAATGTATAATCTGTTAATCTGAAGCATTTCACACATTGATTTCACAGCATCCATAGATATCTATATAAAGGCTAGAATGTCTTAAGGCGGAGTTTATATCGTCATCACCGGCGGCCATCTTGTCACAGGCAAGCTGATGTAAGATGAGTGGTCAGCAAGAACACAAATACTCTTATCTCGTTGAAATCTTGACGGATTTACAAACAGTTTGGTTTCTTACAAACGTTATTAACGTGGCTATAATTATCTGGATGATTATTTATTTATACACTTATTATTCATAAGTATGCTGTGTCATAACTACATCTCTGACGATTATAACAAACCAAACCGTTTGAAAATCGGTAGAAAATTGAGCAAGTTATGGTTATTTAAATAGTACATGTACCATTAGAGTGAGCGAGCTACCTGTGACAAGATGGCCGCCAGGTGCAGACGTCGACCTCCATTGGCCAGCAGCGTGGACGAGATATCTAGCCTTTATACATAATCTATGACAGCATCTACCTCTAGCTAACAGTTGGCTGTAGTTCTCTCGGTGTTCAAATTGAGCTTTTTTTCCCGCGACACAGTTGACGACGCGTGGGAGTCGGCTTTCATCTGCGCGCCGCGGCTGTCTGTGTTGTGTTTTTCCAGGACGTGAAAGGGGGCGTGTTTCAAGATACGCAACGGAGCAGACCAAACAAATTAACAGGGAGAGACAGTCACATTCATTCACACGAAACGCACTCCTTGTCGGCCGCGCGATCGATTCCCTTATCCATTTGCGTAGAAAAGAAATGTATTATTATGATTTCCGTCATTGTTTTATGTATATTTTTGATACTTGATATTTGTACCGGGCCGGCCCACATTGCCCAGAGGCCCAACCGGGAAAAGTCCCGGTGCTCCAGATGGCCAGGCCGCCCCCACAGCCAAATTTTCAGCATCATTACTCCATCTGATTTGATGCCCAAGAAACATTCCTTATTATCATCAATGTTGATAATAGTTAACAGTTGTGCTGCTTAATATTTTTTATGGAAACTGTGATTGTTTCAGGATTCTTTGATTAATAGAAAGTTCAAATAAACTTTAATTTATTTAAAATAGTCACTTTACTGCCCCTTTTGATCAATTTAATATATCCTTGCTGGATAAAATAATAAATTTCTGTCAAAAAAAAAAAATATATATATATATATATAATCAAATAAATAATAAATAAATAATCATGTATGGATTGCAATTGTGATGCTTTTATGGCTTTTGCATCTTTTTGGAAGCTTAAAAGCACATGAAAAACACTTTTGCTTGTCTATTTCACAGGAGAAGAAAAAAAAATAAGTCAAACATGTTTGGAACAAGAACATGGCAAATATAAATATTTTAAATTTTAAATCCCTTTAAAGGGTTAGTTTACCCAAAAATGAAAATTAAGTCATTAATTACTCACCCCCATGCTGTACCAACCCCGTAAGACCTTCGTTCGTCTTCGGAACACAAATGAAGATATTTTTGATTAAATTTGAGAGCTGTAAAACTACCACATTGGCTGCCTAAGGGACTGCCTCTTGACGGCCCAGAAAGTCAATGAAGAAAATGTTTAAATATCCCAAGTGACTACCGTGGCTCAACTATATGTTTATCAAGCGACGCGAATACTTTTTGTGCGAAAAAACAAACAAAAATAACGAGTTTATTCGACTATTTCTTTTCTTCCTTCTAGGCCAGAAAACGAGATTCCACGACGCATGCGCGAGAATTGCAATCTGCTTTTACACTTCAGATAATCGCAATTCTCGCGCATGCGTCGTGGAAATCTAAGGAAATCTCGTTTCTGGCCTACAAGGAAGAAAAGAAATAGTCGAATAAACTCGTTATTTTTGTTGTTTTTTTCGCACAAAAAGTATTCGCGTCACTTGATAAACATATAGTTGAGCCACGGTAGTCACTTGGGATATTTAAACATTTTCTTCATTGACTTTCTGGACCGTCAAGAGGCAGTCCCTTAGGCAGCCAATGTGGTAGTTATACAGCTCTCAAATTTAATCAAAAATATCTTCATTTGTGTTCCGAAGATGAACGAAGGTCTTACGGGGTTGGTACAGCATGGGGGTGAGTAATTAATGACTTAATTTTCATTTTTGGGTGAACTAACCCTTTAAGCTCTTTGTAGCTGAATAAAATGTTTTTTTTTTTTTTTTGTTTTTTTTACATTATTTCTATATAAAAAGCATTGCCTTTTTATCTTCTAGTTATTCACTTAAATTCAGCTATAATATAACGTCTCTTTCCTGACCTACTTAACTCGGAGTGGAGAAAGGAGCAGGAGAGGTGATACGAGCATAAAAAATGGCCTGCTTTCTCACTCAGTCAAGTGTGTGTCCAGCAACTCTGAGCATGTAAAGCCTTAGAGCTGACGGGCCACATTGTTCCAGGCTCAGCGACCTTTCCACGGGGAGTAAGCTGGAAGTGGGTGGGGGGTTCATTTCCGAGGATTGTTGGAGGTCTTTGAAACTGTTACGAGGAGGGAGAGGAAGAGAGAGGTGGGTGGAGTGGATTCTGAGGAGCGCTTGACAGGAGGCGGGAGGGAGAGGATCATTTTCGAGATGGGGGGTGGAGAGTTTCCTTACGGCACCACCGAGTAACGGCTTCACAACATCTTGCTCTCCTGTGCTTTGTGCCAGTTTCTTAACTTTTTGAGGAGCAAACAGACATGGTGGTGCTGAGGTTAACCGTGTTACTCCAGGGGCTGCTCCTCGCAGCACGATGTGAGGTCAGAGCCAGAGACCCGGGGGTAGAGGAGGAGGACGACTTGAAGGACATTTCGGATGATGGTGGATGGGACCATGGAGTTCCACTGGTAGGGTTTGGAGCACCTCATCATGGTCAAGGACTAAACAGCCAGAGCCCTGATGTCTATGGAGCAGTCAACCATCCTCTGGGTCATGGACACCAGGATCCCAGCCGTGGACATCTTTCTCCGAATGTGCCTGAGGCAACATCGGCTACAAGTGAGACCAAGGGCTCTCTACCACGCACTGGGTAAGTCTTACTGTTTCTCATTCATTTTTCATGCTCCATTTGATTCAAACACATAATAATAACAGCATTGTACATGCAAAACACAAAGTCAAATTCTTAAGGTTTTTGTAGAAAAGGGGGTCATCCACCAAGGTAATTCTGGCATAATCTGACTCAGTACATGCAAGTCATAAAAAATGTTCATGGTTTAAATGGTTGTAGAGCTCATTATTTATCCTGGAGAGCCACCCAGATTGAAGCAGAACAGCTTGTGAAGCAATGTCTGTAAAAACAATCACTTCCTCAACTTTCTTATCTTCTCATCAAAGCAAATTTCTGTAACAATGTATTTATTATAAACATCAATTCAAAATATCTTTTCTTAAAAAAAAAAAAAAAAAGCCTGACCCCAAACTTTTAGAACCCCAAACAGTTGTATATATGGCACATGAAGTCGAAGCAGAGAAGCTTGTGAATGGCTGTAAAAACATAGTAAAGTTGGGTTCCTCTCCATCACTTTCTAAAGTTTCTAATCTTCCCCATCTCTGTTAAATTCAATGTTTAACTCGTGTGAAAAAACTAAACAGGAAAAGCGTTTCAGAAAACATTTCTCAAGTGCTAAGACAATTCTGTTCCCGAAGGCCTCCTCTGACCCCACATCTCCTTAAAGTGTCAAGAGTGCCCATATGTTTTCTCTTAACTCTGGCTAATCCATAGTAATTCAGCCTAATTACCTGGAACACATAGAATGTTTCCTGCGCTTTGAGATCTGCCTCAGTTTAATCTTTGCATAAGAGCTGGGTCGCTCTTTACCTCAACCCAAATACATACAGTAGACCCCAAATTGTTCAGCAGTAGGATTGGGTCTCTAATAGCACCCTCCCTAGTCCCTACTGTGTTTTATTTAACATGTTGTGATTAAAGGAAGAACATCTGGTTTGGGTCTGATTAATGATACAAAGGGGTCTGGCCTTTTCTGAATTACACTCTTCAACTAAATGTGATTTGAGGTAGCAAATATTGTAGAGTAATTTATCAATTACACACACACAAAAAAAAGGAATTTAAGGAATGAAAAAATTAAAAAAAACAAAATTCAGAATTAAGTTACAATAAACGTCATCAGAAACATGGGGTAATTACAAAAACATTAGATGAAATTAATAATCAATTACTTAAATGCCACATACAGAACTTGTACATTGGATTTGATATTTTTCAATTTATATAAATTCTATAGGTATAGCTTTTAATAAAATATGTAATGGATTAACAAGAATCATTTGCAATTGAAATGCCACCTACAGAAAATGTTAATTATATTTGTATGAAATATTTTTTTAATTTTATAGCAGAACTTAATTTCCCATGCTATGATTTAAGGTCAATATCTTTTTTTACTTTGTGGATTTATTTTTTACTTTGTGGATTTATTATGGTAACATTTATATTTAGATCTAAAGCCTACACTTGGGTAAACATTAAAGGCTTGTTAAATAACAGGTGGTCTTTAGGGGAGGTGCGAGTCTGTGGATGTCTTGGCATGCATGGGCAACTCTGAAAAGCTATAAAATAAAGGAGGAGAGAAAAAAAGAGTTGGATGTCCAGGTGCAGAGAATTGGAGTGAGCTGGAGTGCTTATGGACAAAGGAAAAAAATATCACTGATGACAAAATTGACGGAAATAATTTAAATAGAAAGCTTTCAGAACATAAACAGTTCAACAATTCAAATGTCAAAAGATATGCATGTTCTCGTGAAATTAAACCTTGTTTTACTAAAGTCAAATAATCAAGACACTTGTCAGTAAAATCCCTTGTTTTCATTTGATCGTGGATGTTCTGACCTGACACTCCGGTGTACTTCTGTCCATACCCATGTATGCAGTTTCTACATTTAACATCTTCTCACACTCTTCATTTTCTGTTGTGGTTTGAGTTAATCTACTTTCATCCTGTGTCCGTCTCAGGAAGCTGCTCTAGCTTACAATCTGGCACTAAAAAAGTTTTGCATACAGTTTATTTTTTGGGTCTCAACCAATCTCAACAGAGGTCCTGTCCATCGAAAACCTTGTTTCCTTTTGTGCTCATGTCAATATAAACTCACCACTTCACTAGCTTATAATGGACTTTATTTCTTGGACTTGAATCAAAAACATGACATGGATGGGGAGAGTTTTATCTATTGCAGCTGTTGTACAACACTGAGAGGCAATGAGAAGCCCATAGAGGATCCAAAGTCAAACAAAACCCTCCATTAAATTTCAGCCTTAATATTAAGCTCTGTATACAGTGGGATGAACATCTGCTGATAAAAACATCAAAGCAACTTTTCAAAGCTCTTTGATTTGTAACAGGCCAGTCTTGCAATATGTTATATTTTGGGATATTCTGATGTTTTAAGAAAAAATAATGATGCACCACAATTGATGATACTGCAAATTTGAGGTCAGTAAAAACATTTTATAGAGTGACAAAAGATTTCTATTTCAAATAAATGCTGTTTTTTAATTTTCATTCATTAAAGATTATTTATAAAAATAACATGGTTTCCACTGAAACGGCAACAGCACAACTGTTTATCATCATATGAATAAATTACATTTTAAAATATATTCAATTAGACAAAAAAAATGTTTGTCTCTCATTTGTTACGCATTTCAGACTCACAAAACATCTGTTCGCAGGTCAAAATAAAGATTACACTTCTACCTTTGGTAACACTTTATTTTAAAGTGACGTAGTTGCACGTAACTACATGTACTTACTATAGTAATAACAGTAAATTATGTATAATAAGTAGCTAACCCTAAACCAACCCCTAACCCCAACCGTAACTGCACAGTAAGTACATTTATTTAATATTACTCAGTACTTTTTTGAGTAAGTAAAATGTAACTAATGTTTTTTTATTTACCTCGCTTTAAACAATAATCTTTAAATAAGCACATTATTACATTTAATTTCAATATTAATTTTAATAATTATTCTTTCACAATTACCATTCTTACTGTATTTTTCATCAAATAAATGCAGCCTTAGTGAGCATAAGAAACATCTTAGTAGTTTCCATTCTCTAAAAATAAGTGATATCTTGCTCAGTTTGGCTTCTTAAATAAATATATCTTATCTTAAGGATGTTTTAAATAGACAAAAACAATACTGATTAAGAAAATATTTATTTTATTTTTTTTGCGGTACACTCTCTGGAAATTCACATGACCAGAGGAAACTATGAAACGAAGGGGCTTAAGGTTAGAGGTCGTGTCAGTCTGACATGCATGCAAGTCCGTGGGTATATTTGTTGGGTAAGGATCCCAGGATGAGGGAAGTTTGCTGGAGGGAGAGAGCATCAGATGCTTCCTTCCTGTGAGGGGACACTAATCGGAAGAAAGCAGGAAGAAAAGCGATATGCTTACAGAGATGTCCATCCATAGAACTATATGTCCGGATGTAACACAAGTCTGATTTATACAATGCATTTTAATGCTTGGTATAGTAAAATTGTAGTTCACTGGAGACGTGGACATGGACTGGATCATAAATGAAAGGAATAGATACACTAATTTGTTGTCTTTTTTGAATCAAGGATCCATTATGCTGTTCCAGGTAATTGCAGCCCAATTTAGCCCCTTCTTAGGGTTATAGAAGATAATGTAAGCCCAAGATGCAGGCAGACGCGAAGGAAGCCTGTTGTGCCCCATCCTTTAATCCTTTAATCCCAGTCTGCCCCAGAATGAAGCAAAATCACAGGCTTGTAAACTATAATGATTCACATGCTTTACATGTTACTTGTCTTGAGACCTTTAATCCCTTTACCCTCAGATCCTATTTATCAATGATCACATTACAGGCAGCTTAGTGATCAAGACAAATATAAGAGGAATGACCAAGTAATGCTTGTGTTAACTCAAAAAGACAACAACAGAGACAAATGCCTTTACAACTGAAAAACAAGTCCCCTCTGACATTTTCAGTTTGAGAGCATTACCAGAAAAATGATTGTGTTGCATTCTTGTGAATGATCAAATGTTTTTCCTTATTCTGACAAGTTGTATACTGAAAATTCGAGTGTTTTTCTTTTTTTGTTTGTGTGTGTGTGGCATATATAGTATACGGTTGTAGTTTGTTCCCAGCTCAGACCTTGTGTAAAGCTCTCTAGGATAAGTCATGCTGTAAGTTTTATGGTCTAAAATGCAGTATTACTAATCACCATAAACAGTGCTGTTACTTGTTTCTATCCATGTAACCATTACAAGAACCAATAGTGTTGGAACAATTGTTGTAATGTTTTGGCTTATAACCAAAGTGCAACTTTGCTTAACTGATTCACTTGGCTTTGTTGCATATGGCCTGTGGGTTTAAAACCATACAATACGTTACATAAATCAAGAACTCAACTTGGCGTATTCCCAGTCATTTAGTCATCAAAATTCTTTCAAAAAGAACCGATCCCTTTGACCTGATTTGGCCCACATGCACATTTGATTAATGGAGAGACAAATGCAGAGTTTCTCATTCTGAAACTCATACCGAGCACATTAACCATTGACCAAAGACTGAACAATTACACCCCAAACAATTCACAACTCGGCAGTGGATGTGGGGGATTTGGCTGGGAGGTTTTGACCCGTCTTACTTGTAGACTATGAATCATACATCAAGAGGATTGAGCAAGTTAAAACAACCAATAGCAGGCCGATATTCCTTCTCAAAGGACCATTTCCAAATGCGTCTACCCACAAAGACTTATCTGTCCAGCCTTTAACTTCAACAAACCTATGATCTCTGGTCGTTGTTGGCTCGCTCATAAACAGTAACAAAGACTCATGTCAAAGATCAGCTCTAATGATGTAAAATAACTGCAGCCCATCATCATCAGCTCTGCCATGACCTCAGAAAAAAAGACCTCACAGCAGGACCCAATGAAATATCAGCTCTCTGTTTTGTCTTTCTGGTCAGTCACCTTCAGGCAGTGTACGTAACCAACCCTTCTAAACCTGTGTGACATGGTATGGATCTTCTCTGAGCTTTTTCTGTTTTTATGCATCTCCTAATGGAGATCCTAATTAGTATGCAACAGGTTGTTTGGACTTACCCAGGTCAGAAGCTCTATTATTTACACCATTGTACGTCAATGGAGAACTTTCCATCTCTCTTACTGCCAATCAGATAAAGGAAGCCATGTTCTTAGCACTATTAACAATGAGTCATGGCCCGTGGCGCTCAAACACCTATTCTTTGGTTCCTGGTTTGAAAGGAAGCAACTGTGTGCTTAAAAAAGTTGGACATGGTGGACATAATGTGTTGATGCAAATGCAAATGTCTGCCATATTATTACTAACAAAGCATGTTTTACTTCCAGTAAAAAATAAACACAAAGTTAGGCTTTTCACATTTCAGGTATCTCTGGGTTACTGTCTTTTTAATCAGATTTCAGGTTCGTTCTGATTGGATGAGGCGTGTGCATTACAGTGTAATATTAATGCACAAAGATGTTTCACCCTCTACCTAATGCCGCCTTTCCTTCCGTTTCTGACATTCACATACAAACGTTTCAGCACCTCGTGACAGTCGCACAAAACTTTCAGATTCGTTTTGAAGCAGCCATCACACTCTGCAGATTAACCATGGTAAAATGAATGAATAATTATTGTATCCACAAGTAAAATCAAAAACACAATTATGAAATACTTATTTTGAAAAAAATGAGTCATAACCTCCCAATGCCCATTTAGGGAAATTATAATATGGAATTATGGGTATTAATGGAAGAACATTGGTAATTTTCACATTGTTCTGGTCGCATATGGTCTTGCTGCAAGAGTTCAAATATTTCAGGCAACACATCCAATGATGAAATTGCATCCAAAAATTCTACATACACGTATGATGTGAACTCTACTCATGAACTCCATTGAACATAGCTGATAACTGAAAATTAATGTTGGCGAATTTTTGTCGGAGATAGTGGAAAGGTGGCTTAAGAATACCCTTGACCTGTGGTAAAGTTAATGTCACTCGTATCATGGCTTATTTATTTATATTTATTTCACACTGGGTTAAGCAATGTATCACACTTGCTATTTTGAATAGAGGCTAGCACTTTTAACCCTTAAAATAGGTGATATACAAAGGTATACAATGTGTGCTAACCTCTATTCAAAATAGCAAGTGTGATACATTTCTCAGTTTCATCATATGCTTTGTATTTTTTAAATGCTGAGAGAAACTCTTACAAATGACCCTTGGGTAAACTATTTATATTGTATTGCTTAATGTCGCTGTAAACTGCATTTATTCCAAGAACTTTGAGGAAAACACTCGGCCATTGACTCATCAAACTAATTTGAGATTACCATGGATGCAATCCAAGAAATACATTGCAGGGCTTAATGTGTCGTTTGTAGGTTTATATTTCCCTCTAGATAATGAAATATATTTGGGCTTGACCTTGAGAACAAGGAGAAAAGGTTCAGCTAAACACAAGGCCACAAAATTAACTGTATTATTGCTGAGTTTATTAGTACAATGAACCTCTGGCCTTGACCGAACTGGATACTTCCGATGTTTCCGAACTACAGAATATACAGTTTAGGTTGTGTGGCTGACTTTCAGTTTCCCTTCCAGGAATTGGTGTGCATTTGTTCAAAAGCGTGCTGTTACTGTGGCAGTATCCTGTGGAACTGAGAAGTATACTATCAAGTCCCAGAGTCCCTGTCCTAACGGCACCCCAGACTGCCAGCTAGTCATGCAAGTCAATTATGTTTCGTAATATGAAGTGTATAGTTTTATAGTTGCTAGAGGCACCAAACAGAACTGCAAAAATTAGGACTGTTTTCAAACACTCAGCTCAGTTGATATAGAGTGGGACAGATTAAGGCACAGCCCTTCTGGGCTCCAAGTTAAAGTCAGTTTCCTAATGATCTCAAATTGCTTAAATATTTGTATATACATGCATATTTTGTATTTAATATAAAGTATATTAGAATAGAAAATATATTTTCTTACACGTTATAACCTAATTTGCAAAGTGCGTATAGCTTGACAATCAAATCCCTTAATTTATATGCAGGTACAAGCTGTCTACTCGGCCAGTGTACAGAGAGATGCAGAAAATCTTCACTGCACTGCTGTGGCGATGCTGCCCTGGGCATGCTGGGAAAAACTGTGAGGAGACAGGTACTGATGAGCTTTCCACAACAATTTGACACAACAGGGCTTAAAGGAGAATTCTGGCACAAAATGAACCTTTGGTCTAATTACACATTGGTACCTAGTTGATCGTTCTCTGAGATTTGTTTTTGTGATAATCGAATGTAAAGAGTTTTATCTCTAAAAACCGTTTAGTTACGCTAGTATATGTGGGCATTTAATAAGTAAAAAGAAATCCCTTCTTAATACCACTAACAAGGCTCAAAATAACCCCACACTAACACAGTAACATAATGAGGGTCCCTACATGCACGAACGACGTACCACAAACGACGTGCCAAGTGAGCTGAACTGTATGGAGTTCAGCGAACTTCTTAACTGTATGAACGGCGTTCGTGGTTTGACTTGTCAAGACTGTTTTCCAAAGATGGCGCCACCTGTATCCACGAAGTGCTCTGTCTTTATAAAATATCTTCTTATTAAACTGTCTGTACACTTACAAATTTCTCAATGCTTCGTTTTGCATGTAGGAACCCTCATTATGTTACTCTGTTAGTGTGGGGCTATTTTGAGCCTTGTTAGTGGTTTTAACTAGCGATTTCTTTTGACTTATATGCCCCCATATACTAGCGTATACGCTAAACAGTTTATAGAGATAAAACTCTTTACATTAAATTATCATGAATACAAATCTCAGAGAACGGTCGACTAGAGACCAATGTGTAATTAGACCAAAGGTTCATTTTCCGTCGGAAATCTCCTTTAAGGTGATGCTGGAACCATCACATTTTCTAGTGTCAAAAGTTGATAAGTCTTTCTCCTCTTCTGTATAAATAAACAACATTAGAGATTTGAATGCACTGCTTGACCAAAAGTACTGAATGCGAACATGACGCTTCTTATGAATGGGTTTGGCTCTTTCATTTGTAAATTGCCTTAAATTGGACTAGATTGTCTTAATTGGAAGTAAAATGGCTTGAGTAAAAGATGATTTCCACAGGTGATGTGCTATATGTTCTTGAAAACATAAAAATATATATTATTCTATGTTTTTTCTGTGCTCTGTCAGTTACAGAAGGCCAAATCTCGGAGTCTGAGTCTCAAGACCCCACCATGGCACGCAGACCATATCCGGGAGGACATGAAACGACAGACACACGTGATGCAAATAACTTTTTAAGCTTTAAAATAAGTTAAAAATCGAAATCTTTACAATCTGTAATTGAATAGTCTCCAATACGTCATTGGATGACGACTGGTTAATACAGGACTCTAGCCGAGCATACCTCTATACAGGCTGTGACAGACTGATACTGGCCTGGCCACAGAAACAAACTAAGGAAATGACAAAAGTGTGTTTGTGCAAATATTGGCCGGCTACGGGAATGTTATTGCCGGAAAAGGGCGTTTGGGTATTCTGAAGGCAAGGGGCGAGCCCACACAATGTTAACGTGTGCAACCCCGCTTTAGTCCGAGCATGGACAAAACAAAAATTTCTTGGGTAAACACACATGCACTGGAGCGCACTAGAATAATAAGATATTTCAGAAGAGTCCGTCAAATCCACAGCTCTAAAAATAATCCTTTGAGGTGGTTGTTGGGACACAAACAAAGGCTTTAGACACAAACTTGGAAATTCCCATGCTGCTGATTAATCTGATACCAAGCACACAAACTAATGACTTTCCTGAGATTCAAATACACAGTCCAAAGTGCACAGGTCGCATTCATGCAGTGAATAACAAAATAACAGATCTGTCTGATGGCAAAGGTGCCATCAATCGATACAGTTCCAAAACGCCACATAACATTTTTTTCTTCTTTCTCTTAAGGATATAACAAACTAACTCAAGAGAACAGAGAGCAGAATGATTTCCAAACATTTGGCGGTCCACTGTATGAAGCTCAACTACCTGATGTAGAGAATCAAACTGCAACGGAGTCCATCAATGATTATGAGCCCAGCCCTCATTCTGACCATGAGCACCAGAACAGCCACCACTTTGAAAGGAGAGGTATGTTAAACTTTACATGCAACATACCTCACAGATGTGTACAAAATGTGACGATTTAAGAAAAGGCTGTTTGAGTCAATAGTTAGAAACAATTTTGCATGCTTTGAATCTAAAAATTTCTAATTAGTGTTTTGCTTCCAAATAACTGCTCCCACTTTATGTTTAAGCTCTATGCATTTGCTTAGGTCTGTGGTTAAACACAAGCTTGAGATTTTATTCTCACAAGCTCACTTTTATTCTACACCAAAACTTATATCAGTGAGACCACTTGTGTTTTAAAGTGGAAAAAGGCAGTTGCTAACAAGTGTCTAAATGGGACTCCGGAGGTCAACGCGCCAAAAAGAAAAACGCATATTATTTGTCCACTTTTACTCCCTTGTGTGTTTATACCCGTACACTATTCTAACTTTGATTGAAAAGTGGAGTTTATTTATAGCCTAACACCGTGTCCTAACTACACGTGACGCAACGCCATGACACGCGATAAAAGGTATCTTTTCCCTGTTAATCAGTTTTTGTCCTAACCAGACACGACATCGACACGCAAAGTTTCTAATTTAGAAACGGTTCCTATTTCTGCGGCTGAGAGATATTACACTGGTTATGAGTACCCTTTATTTCTTTTTAGTTAAAAAAAGGTCACTGTGCCACAAGCGATAACGGATAATTTACCTCAGATTTTGAAAGCATAAATATAGCGTTCAAAATGATTTCAATACAAACATTCAACTGTACTTCCTAACAAAATTAGTGAATGAGTATGTTTTGTTAATGTTTTGATTTTTAATAATGTTAATTCTTGATTTGATTATGTCCTTACCCATTTCCAATGCGAGTGCGGGCCAGCAGTGCGCTTTCTGAATGGCTGTGTTTTTTGATTGACGTGTGGCATCTCACAGTCGCATTGCGTCTAGTGTGGACAGACACAATTGCTGTCGCTGGAATTTTATCGCGTCGTGTGTATTTAGGACACAGTGTAACTTTCCCTTTTTTACTTTGTTTGAGTTTCATGAGTCTTAAAACGTTGTCTATTGTGAAGAGTACCTTGATCAACAAAACGTAAGAATCTTTTGTTGATCACTGAAAGATAATGAAAAAATCCTAACTCAATACTAACTTTCAAGTCAGCCTACAAAGATATGTAATTCCTACTCTATATCAGCAGTTATCCATTTTCCTCTATGATAACCTCTAATAATAATCTCAACAACAAAAAAAGAGCATTCACTAATAGGCCTCTCTTCCCAGTCTCTTGTACATACAAACATTACTTAAAACAGTACGTGTGTTTACATAACAAAATGGTCACTAGACACGTCCTTTGGTTGTAATATGCATTATCAGAGATATTATGGGGATATGATTCTGTCTGTCTCGCCAAGTACCGGTCTCGCTTATATCCTGCTATGCAGAACAGAACAGAATTAATGCTGCAAACAGGGGGAAAACCTCCATTCTTCTTCTATAACAGCTCTTCACCATCTCTTCACATTACTTGTTCCTGCACAGGATATCCTCTCTTCCCTGGGAAAAGGGCTCCCATACATTGTATGGTTGTGAGAGTGATGTAATGGTCTATGGAAATGACACTGTGGTTCAAATTTAGATGGAATCCAGCCACTCACAACAGTAAGAAAACTGCAGTGTTATTGATGTGAAGACACATTTGTCACATAAATAACGCTTGAAAGCCTCTTTTAAAAGTTTATTCTCTTCCAAAATGAAGACAAAAGAAGGAAGAAAAAAACTTTGAAGTTTGAATGGAGAATTTTCCCCTTGTTACTCTGTTGTTCTGAGTAGGAGCAGAGCTTTTGTGTCTGTGTGAAATGTGGTTCAAATAGCGAAAAACAATGTTGTCAGGATAATAAAACATGACTCAATCATATATCCTAGACTTTACAACATGAGAAAAAGCAGCAGGGGTATAAATTCTGAAGCTTTTCCAGACAGTGTTTTGACAGCATGTGAATAAAAAGAACAAAAACGGCACATGACCTCTATGTCAGGTTCCCAGCAGGGAACTTGTACATGTAGAGATCTCTTCTTGCTTAAAACTCTTCCCTAACTCACGATCAAAACATACCACACACATACTTTATTTCAACGCAGGGAATGTAAAAGACCCTGGGCTGTTCACTGGTCAATTAAAAGGTTCAAAGTTCAGATGAATGACCCAACCTGAACTGGAAATTGAGATCTAAATCTTTCCGAGATGATATTGATGTTTCCTCTTGAGCAGCATAGAAAGTCAAATTGAACAAACAGCACCACAGTGAAAATGATTATCCCAGAATGTCAATGGATCAAATTTTTATTTTAGGCAATGTGGTGGTTATCCTCCAAAACATTATTGTTTCTGGGATTCCCCACTTTGTAAGTTGCTTAGGGAGTTTGTAGAAAATAATGAGAACATCTATTTTAAGATTCTCCCTAAAAGAGGCCAATTCAAAGTTCACGGGCCTCATTTATAAAATGTGCGTATGAACTTAAAACCTACACTAAAACCTTTGATGTGGAAACGTGCTTAGAGCCACATCATTGTCTAACCAGAAGCAAGCACTTTTTCTTGTGGTAGAAAGTCGGACTATTGCAGGTATTTGGAAATCTAAGCAATTCTTGACTCTCGTTGTTCTCAAGTAAAGGATTTAGATGTTGAATGATGCTCTGTTATGACATTAATGGCTCGTTTCCACTGAGCAGTACGGTACAGTTCGGTACGCAATTATTTGTGTTTTACACTCAAAAGTTGTGAATGGTACCAAAAAGTCGAACCGTACCACTTTTTGGGTACCCTTCCGTTGGGGTACCAGTGGTATGGTACTAAACGTTGGAGCTAGACTGTTTAAAACGTATTTAAATGAAATCAAAAAGAAGCAGCGTGGCATTTTATAACATATTTCATTTTATTGTTGCCTAAAATGTACATACAGAGATAACCGGAGTAGCAGAACGAGCTGAGTGGCGCATTCAAGAACGCGCACTGTTCCATTAGCAGAATTACTGGATTCACGTGCTCGGGCGTCATTCTCCTGAGTCGGACTTTGCGTAGGCAACTTGGTATTGAGAAACGCCTAATGCCAGCGCTTGTTTCTTGTGACAAACATATCGAGAAGCAAGAACAAGATCTGCCGTATGTCATCCGTTGTTGTTTACCATGTCGCTTTCTTCTTCGCGCGATAATGACTTCAATCTCTTCTTTCCGTCAAACACCATGGCTATCAAGTAAGGTTGGCGGTGGAAACGCTAGCCGGATCATGGTTTACCGACCCAACCTATTCTGTACTGTACCATAGTGTACCGTACCACTCAGTGGTATAATTGGTGGGCGTTTACAAAGCTGAGACCTGAAACCATTCAGCTGTGCACAATTTCAAGATCATCTACGATTTATAAATTTCACATCTGAGAGGCGCGCACACGTTTTCTGTCTGTACGTTCGTTCTCTGAATCATAAGTACGCACATATGAGAAATGATTGTAATATCAAATGTAAGACAGTTTCTGTGCAACATTTTATAAATGAGCCCACATATAGCAGATGTCTGTCAATCTTTTTTCAGACCCCTATGCTGTAAATGAAGGTGTTCCTTACCCTGACTTATCTTACGCTCACTACGGGCTCCTGCCGATCTTGAAAGAAGCTGTGATGTCTCAGCTGCAGCCTGTGTTGGAGAATTTCAATCTAACCCTGGAACGGCTCTTTCAGGAGGTGCAGGGTTTGCAGCGGGACATGGCCGAACTCCGACATGATCAGGGGCAGGGAAGGGTCGCTGAGCCTCTAGAGGTTGGTGGTGAAGAGCACAATCTGCAGGAGGCTGTTGAGGATAAGGTGAGGGAGAGTTTACAGAAACTGGAGGAGGTAAAATCTCAGTTTCACAACCATCGCCATGAGGTAGAAGAGAGGCTCCACGCACAGCAAACCATGCTGCACTACAACCTAACAAATTTCAAGATGGACATAGACATCAAAATCAAACGTCACCAAAAGATGTTGCAGGTCAGAATTTTTAGCTAACCTCAAACAACCTCAGATCATTTTTGTACATGTATAACATTGTACTGAATGTGTACATCTCGCTCTAGGTAAATCTCCAGTCTCTGAACACATCAATGTCTGAAGTGATACAGGAGCAAGAGAGGCTGGACGAGAAATTTCAGAAGATTCGGCCTGAAAATAAGGTTGACTCCACACAGAGTCAGTCTCTTGATAGCACAGCTGTATGGGAGGCCATCACGCGTCTGGACAATAAAGTCATTAACAACACAGTTAGACTTAGTACCTTGATTGAAGGCAATGAACAAGTGACTGCAAATATCAATAACCTCCAGGATAGTTGGTCAGATCTGGACAACAAAATAGTCCAGACTGGCCGCAACAGTCAGGTTCAGTTTATGGAGACTGGTTTGGAGGTGGAGGCAGCGAAGGTTGCGGTACTTGACCGTATTAATGAGCTGAGCAGCAACATCAGTGTTCTCCAGAGTGCTCTGCAGGAGATGGAAACCGATGTTGATTATCTTTACACAGAGTATTATAAGAATATAAGTTCAGCAAGTGGGGAATGTGACTGTATCGCTCTTGGAGTATCTGTGACCCAGTTGGAACAAAGTGTAGCTAATGTGATGGAGATTGTGAATGAAAACAAGCTGGACTGGGAGCGTAAGGCACAGGATATGTTAGACAATCGGGACAATAGTGCTTGGGTTCCATCCGTGGAAGATCTCAAACTGGGGTTATTGAATGTGCAACAGTCCCTTGCTTTTGAGCAGGAAAAGAGCAGAATGTTACAACACAATGTGACCCAGCTCCAGGCCTCTTTCCAGGACAAAGAGCAGGACATTGAAAAACTCCAGGAGCTGGACAGGGCCAAGGTTGAGAAGATTGAGCACTTACATAGCATTTTTAACACCTTGCTTCAGGATGCGGTTCGTCACTCTGAGGTGCTAGAGATTTTGCTTGGCGAAGAGGTGCTGGAGTTCATGGAGTGGTCTCATCAAGACCAGAGACGTTACTCTATACCAGAATTGAGGGAAAGTATTAGATCCATGCAAGAGCAGATCAATGGACACAGCCTCAGCTTAGCCTCAATGGTGAACTCAGCTACCCCTCAGGTGACAGCAGCAGATGAGCCCTCTGTGCTTGGAGACTGGGCCTCGGTGGGCGTCAAAAGGAGACGTGGGGATGAAAAATTGGACCTTTTCGGGGAACAGCCGGAGTACTCTGATGATGACTTCTGGACTTTAGAGAAAACAGTAAAAGAGCTTCAAGCTCACATCAAAAAGCTTGAGGAACATCGTTGTCCTTGCTGCAACTGCAATAAATCTGCTGCCGCTGGTGGTGTGGAGGTGGAACTGCAGGCCAAGGTGGATACTTTGCGTAAGGACCTAGAGACCCACCTTGGAGTTTTTAACGGCATTTTCAGTAACACAGAGGGACTTGCTGACTCTGAGGTGTCGGTGGATTTGGATAAATTGTCAGCTTTGATAAAGAAAAAGGAAGCAAAGCAACAAAACAAGAAACAAAAGAAGAGAGCAGACAGGGGGGACAGAGTGAATTTCCGCAGCAAGAGGGATGCATCACTGGAGTATGCAGGTAAGATGATATTTAAACATAGTATCTTGTAAAACTATTCAAACTATTAAAATGTTTTTCTGCAAATGTCACCTCAGGAGTTACTCTGTTAAAGCACTGCATTTCCATATGACAATTTCAATATTTATTCATATATAGGTTAATATAGGTTTAATATGTATTCATATTGAATCTAGACTAGAGTACAGGTTTGTTGGTTTTATTTGTATGACAAGAGCACCCCTAGTGGAAGTAATTTGTGTCCCCTTTTTCCTAACTCTCAGCATTCATATTTTAATACCTCACCATTATTTGATTCCAAACAGTGCTTCGTCAACTACCAGATAGTCCAATTATGTTCCTAGCCAGCAGTACACTTGGTACTAATGGATCTGGCACAATCCTTTTTGAAAGCGTGGCCCTAAATCATGGACAGTTATACTCACCAAAAACAGGCATATTCCGTGCTCCTACTTCTGGTGCCTATCTCTTTGTGGTGACACTGGACTTTGGACCAGGCCCGGCTGTGGCTCAACTAAAGAGAGGTGAAGAGGTAGCTGCCTCCTTACGGCAGAACCCAAGGAAGTTGGGTGCACCTGCAACACGTGTCTGTATCCTGGAGATGGACCAAGGAGAGGAACTCCGTCTTGACCTGGTGCAGGGAACCATAGAGCGCAACAACCCACAAGATAACACATTTGCTGGCCTACTAATGCTGCAGACCACCTGAGAACATGAAACCCTCTAAAGGTGCAAAAAGACTGAAAGAAACTTAAGTTGCACTGCCCAGTTATTGAGGCATTGTTTGCAAGTACAAAGATTTAAATGATGTGGCCCTTTTTTGGTGGGATATCAGAACTCTTACATTTGTCTTCAATGTGACAACTACATTATATTCCTCAAATTCCTCTGTGCCCTAAATAGATTACAAGATATTGTACATTTTCTGTAAAATATAAGACACATCAAAACCACAGATAACAATTGCGTACTAAAATTATATTTCTTAAAAGATTACATGGCGAAATATTATACATATATAAGGGTGCTTATATGGCACCCTTTCAACATGTGGTTAAATAAAACAAAAACATTTTTACAAATTAAACACTAAAGACTTTTTAATATAATACACAGAGGTGGACTGGGTGATACTATGGTAAAGCACACTGACATATCTACAGGCATATATCACGTCCTATCAACATACTTCATAGCTCTGTCTATGGTGAGGTGTGTTGTCGGTTTTCGGGGGAAAAGAACAAAAGCCATTGGGGATGGACACAAAACCATTGGAAGAATCACAATGAGAGTATTTCTCTTTCTTTATAGCAAACAAATGCTAACTTGATGGACCATTTGAAACTTCCTTTTCAGCCAAACAAATGCATTTGATATAGAGAAGTTTCACAAATTAAATTTGATATTACCTGCATAGTAAAAACTGAAAATGTATTTCCATATACACTAAATTTAATGTTTCTCTAGCATATTGTACTGTATGTTGAAGTTAACCGCACTGAGGTGAGTGTTTCGTTTCTTAGATCTATTATTTATTTTCAGAATATTTTAAATTGTTTTATAAGCATGTCAGTAACCTTGACATTTTGTTTTAATCAAGATGCCCTTTTGGCATTTCAGGGCATACTGTACTAAAATCGTGACAAAGCACCTTAGTCTGGCACTGACATTATTAAAGCATTGTACAATCACACTTCCTGTCTTTAAGGGCCCAGATATTGCTGTATAGAGCTATTGTGAATTGTTGTTTTGTTACTATTAACAAATCACGCTGTTTTTTTCAATGGCACTAAGAATAATAAACAAGGTTTCTGGGATACAATGCATTTTGTAAAGGAATAATATAATTAAATCTGCACGGGAGTTCTGTAAACATGTTATGTAACAATAATGTGTATTTTGGACTATACCAGTTACCAAGACCATATTTTGGCAGCCCCAAGTGAAATATTAGGCAATGATGACTAACAGATGTTACCTACAGTCATACCCTTCAACTTCAGGCACCTCAAAAACATTAAGTGTTCAAAACATGATTATTAAAATTGGCAAAGACATACGATCAGAATATCACCAAATCCTCAAAGGTTTGCACTTTAAACCAAGTCACATTCATACTGATAGCATCCTGTACCAAGAAAAAAAAGACCCAGCTTCTCTGAATCAAGGAAACTCAGGAATGCATCAACTCTATCACGCCAACCAGAAAGCACATATCACCCCCACAAACACTACATTGAGTTTTAGCAACTCTGAAGTGGTGTTCAAGGTTGCCAAATCACTGCTAGCAGATGTTTTCTATTCTGAGGATGGTAAAAAAATGGCATGCTTTAAACATTGCAAACAATATATTGTTCATGCAACAAAATCATGAATGGCATGCATCTCATGATCATTAACCTTCTGTCGGGGTCTTGTTATTTCATAAAGAAACATTATTATCAGAGAACATGTAAAGAGAAGTACTATATAGTTGAATTTACATTTTAAAAGCCACACATTAGGCTACAAGAGGCACAGATAGTCTTCTTCTAGATAGTCTACAACCGCTGTTAACTGGACGAGATTATATATTGATAGTTTATCATTTTGCTCTGTTTTCAGTACATCTACTCGTATAATATATTTACATGTCATACATTAAATCACAGTATGCTTTACACAGATTCCATGAGAAGTCAACAGCAACAGCATCCACATGGCAGGAGGTTTATCCCAGAATCTAAAGAAACATATTCAGAACGACTGAGTCTATTTTAAGGCAGTGGGGTTTACTTTATCTCTCCAGAAGGTCCCACTCCAGTGTTTTTGTCTGTTGTAGCAATCCTCTGATCCATCTTCACAATGATATAGCTTTCATAGAAAGCAGCAAAGTCAACATGTCTGATCCAACAGAAGAAGAGAGCTTGTTTCTCCTGAAGGGGACGATGATGTCAAAAACAAAATAAAAGCCACTATGCTGATCAGATTTTAATGTCTTGAGATTCCACCATTTTTGCCAAAGTCTTCTTGACTCGTAGGATGGTCAGGCGTGATGCAGGATTGTGGGCCCAGCATTCTGACATCAGCTTCAACATGGCCCTCGAGCACTAGGTAGTACATTAATAGTACATAATACATTTCTCTTCAGTACATATGCATGATCTCAACATCCTATGCAAAGCTACAAATATTAATTCAATCTGTAAAGATTCTGCAAATACAATCTGTAAATATGCTACCATCTGCTGGTCACATGCTGCTGACTCACCTCATCACTGTTCCATCTATTGGATACGGTGGGCCGCAGCCCTTTGACGCACACAACCTCTAGCATATCCTCATAAGACGGGTCTGAAGGCACCATCTCATAATATGGTAGCTGATAGTCCTCAACAATACCTAGGAAACAATCAGTAGATGTATTCATGAATTACTGTTTGAATTCTGTAAACAACCACAACAGGAGCCGTTTTTAGATAGCTTTAGAATAAAAACATATTTAGAAGTTGCGATGTAATGCAAAGAGACAGATCTTGTTCATATATAATGGTTCAATTCATCAGTTCTTCATTGGATTAAGGCAGATCTGAATGTAAGCTTGCAGTTGACTGTAAGAAAGGGGTGGAGTTTAAGGTGACTAGATAACCAAGTCCAACATACGTCACTAGAAAGAATCATTATATTTAACAATTTAATTCAAATTAAAAACATGGATGAATGGTTCCCAATAAGTACATTAGGATGCATGTAGAAAATAGGTTGAATTTCCATTTCACTTTGACTTTAAAAAGACATGGCAAAAGCAAAACAAAAGAAATTTAATTTACCATAAAACTTCAAATAATAGCCGAGTCCCATATAGACACCTGTCTCGTTTACACGCCTGGTGTACTGTTGTCACGATACCAAAATTATTGTGTCGATATTGATACCAAGTCAAGAATTGTGATTTCGATACTTTTCATGAAAAGGAAAAGTATTTCTTACAAGCCGTTTCACATGCACCTCCTTTGCATAGGTTTGTGGCTCTTTAAATGCTGTAATAACATACAGGATTGTACAGGATTGGGTAAATAAAGGCCGGTCTCAAATAGAGATGCGTGCGCTCTCACGGCTTCAAACAACACAAACCTGTCCTGCTCTCTACCTCGCACATATTAAATTAAGATCAACTGACATGATTCACGTTTCACGTGGAGCATTTGGAGAATTTTAAAGATAAGAGACTCACTGAACAACATCTGAAAATAAAAGCCTGGGCTATTTTAAGTTTTACGGTATATTCATTGTCTTGTGAATACCTCCAGTGAGACAGCGTCGGGCCATTTCCCATATAATCAGTCCATAGCTGTAGATGTCTGCCATGATGTAGGCCTGGAAGTGGTTCTTATTCAGAGTCTCGTCCAGGACTTCTGGAGCCATGTAGCGTTGAGTCCCCATACGTGTGCTCAGTGGGACGTCCACTTCATTTGTGTCACTGAGACAAAAAATGTTACTTCTTCATAATAACTGAACAAACCACTTAAAACTAGCTTTTAAAACAAATGTAAAGTGACAAACACCTGTTGAATTTCACAGCAAGCCCGAGGTCAGCGATGCAACAGGTGCCGTTTTTCTTTATGAGGATGTTCTTGCTCTTCAGGTCTCTGTGAGCAATGGCTGGTTTTCCCTGCGTGCCGTAGATCTCTGTATGCAGGTGACACAGGCCACAGGCTGCAGAGTAGGCCAGTCTGAGCAAGGCCTGTGTGTCCAGAGTGGTGAACTTCAAATAGTCATACAGAGAGCCATTCTCATGGTAGTCTGTGATCAGGTACAGCTGCGTAGAGGCTCCAGTGCCATTAATGTCAGCAGCAATGAAGCCTTCAAGCAGAATGAGGAGAATCGCGTCACATAGGAAAACATGGAATTGATACACAATTAAAAACTCTACACAATCTTGAATGACATGAAGTGTACCTAGTATGTTCTCGTGTCTCATCAGCACGGTTTGGTAGATCTCGGTCTCTCTGAACCAGCTGGCCTCCTCTCGAGTAAAGAAAACTTTCACTGCTACCTTCTCCCCCCTCCATCGACCGAGCCACACCTCTCCATATCGCCCTTTTCCAATAAGGCGCACTGTCTGGATCTGCTTGGCAATGGTGCGCTGGACCTGTAAAATGTGAATAGAAACTATGAAAAAGAACAAGCTGTTGATGCTAAAATCCTACAGTCTGCATTTCTGATTTCTCACCAGAAGGGGGAGCCCAGAACCACTGCCTGAGGTTTGAGACTGGTTGATGAGCTCTTTAAGAGATTCTCCTGCTGGGATAAAGGCATCATCCTGCTCTAGGTCTCTGTGGTAGCGCTGCCTCTCTGTCTGCCACTTATACCTGAGGACAGGACAGAGTCAAATTTAGTTTTACACCCATACCTGACATCAGAAAGCTTTTTCCTGACTACCCTTTTTAACAGATAGTTTAGTAACCAGACACAAACTAAAGATTCATTTGTTATAAAGGCAAACTTTTTCCCAGTTGTGTACACAAGGTATAAAGTCTTGCCCCTACTTGCAGTAACATAAGTGTTTGTCTTTCAACAACAACAGGCCATGATGTGGGTGGCATGTGTTTTCAGAGGTGCTGTGCAAAAACACATCAGCGTTAAGGTTACGGTTCAGTGAGGTGGGAAAACAGGCCACAACACAAGTAGCTATTTTTTTGTAAGAGCTTCAGTTTGTTTTGCACTTCAGCGTGGTGATGATCTCACCTGTAATAACAGATCACAGTGACGCAGATGAGGGTGCAGAAGCACACAGACACTGAAATGAGGAAGGCTAGCCAGTGAGGGTCTTGTGGTACTGTAAAGAGATCAAGAGAAAACACGTTCATCATTTAAACATTAGGTTAGCCAGGGCTCAATCAGCAAGCCTAACATTTTTGTCAGAATTCTGAATGATTAAATAATAAAACAAAGAGATAACAATAACATAATTAAAAACAATAACTGTAACCATCTGAAATTAACGACAGAAACTGTGCATTAAGCACATTCAATATAGATACAGACATTTAGCATTAACATTTAGCTTTTGTTTTTAATTTGGGTTCAACTTTCGTTTCTCATCCAACACGCGAGAAGTTGAGGTGAACAAGCGTTCACCGTCTATGCTACTGCAGGTTGCGGACAGGTTCAATTGCGCAACTTCAGTGGGTTTATGCAAAATTATGTCACACATTAAAAAACATTTTTAATTGATAAGGAATTTTCAAATGACTTTGATGCTTCATAGACAACAAGTTAATGTGACAATTTCCACTGCAATCTATTTAAGCAAGCTAGATAATGTTACCCTGCTAAAAGGTTTAAATCAACAATCTGTAATCCTTCACAGATAACCCTATGATGCCATTTAACTGCCAGGCAAATAGTACTGAAGCTTACCCGAGTCTCGAGGCGGTAACTCTGGCTTTAGGTCTCGGTTACAAAAGTCAAACTGGCAGCACTCGATGGTTCGGCGTGGCTGTGCAAACTGCGAATCCTGTGAAAAATCCATGTCTCGAGTGAGTGAACCTTACAAAGTCTGATATTTAATCATGCAAGTCAAAGTGCAAGACACTTAAAGAGACATAGCTTTCCTTACCTTGCATTGAAAGTGAGAGCCTTCATATTTCATACAGCCTGAGCTTAAGATCCCCACTCCATTTTCATCTTCTTCAATGATGGCGAAGCACTGACCATTTGTCCTGTTGGGTTTCAAAGAAAACATAATTTTTTTTGAATATATATAAACTAAGTACAAACATATAAATCACATTAAACAATGATCACTTAACAGTGCCATAGCCTGTGACACTTACTCGCAGGTGTTGTTCTTGGCGTCATCAGGGCAGTGACCTAAGCAGTGGCAGCTAAGGAAACGGGCAGCATCTTCTGGTGCCACAGTAGAATCGCCCCCGGGCCTTCTGGAGCCTGAGCCAGGCTTCACCCCAGTGCCCTGCAGCACGTGGTCCGGGTTCTGCCCTGCTGTATGTGACGAGACACAATCAATGACAAGCTAGGTGCACAGACACACAAAGCAAAAAGCATTTATACCAGTCTTTCTGCATTATTAGTACTGCAGAGTACTCAAGTAGCCTGCTCTGGCTGATAGTCCACTGCTTTTGAACACTCATTTTGTGAGTAATGTGGCTGTTCATGTAAAAAGAGAAAGACACATTCTTCTAATTCATTCAAACATGGGTCATTTAATATTTACTTGAATAAAATATGTTGAAGAAATACTTAATTCAAACTAAAAACTTCGGTCTACATAATACTGGTTTAAATTTAATAGCACATTAGTCTTTGGTATAGTACCGACATTTAATTAATAATCATTCAAATTGATTACTGAAATTTCAGTGTTGTGACAATCCTCAAGGCCAGTTGTCCTACATTTATGTCCTACACACCACGTTTCACACCCTCAGGCCTGTTTTACGCGAACCCCTCTCCAATCCCTTCGCCGTAGCTTGACGTGCACCTCCAAAAATTTGTAACTACGCGTCGAGGCGACGCAGACAGCAAGGGCTTTGATTGGTCAGATTATACATCATTTCAGGAGTGTAGCTTTTCCGATTTCCCCCTCCCGCTATAGCGCCATTTTTAACATTTACACCCTCGTACTGATAATTATAATACACTTATAAAGAAAGTAAATAAAGAATTAAACTAAAAATAAACTGTGTTGTTTTTTATTTCATTGTTAATATATATGTCGATATTCTTTTCTTTCTTTTTTGCTTGCAATAAACTTCAATACACAATCAATAAATCAACATTTGTTTTAAAACTCAGTTTGTTGTTTATTTTCAATACAATGTTCACGGTTACATCATTGATAATACACAAACAGTACTAACCAAGACTGCCACGGGACACTACATTATCCTGCATTGGCACGGTTTCATGTGGAGACTGAAAAAAAGCCTTCAAGTTATTCCAAACAGCTATGGCAGCTCGGGTTGAACGGGCCCTGGACATCCGTGTTGGTTCTATGGGGACAAAGTTTGCGTCGTCTTGTTGTTCAACCATAGACCGTATAAGAAGCGTTCAACATCGATTAGCTCCAGCTGCAACAACATTCTCTCTCTTTCGCTCATGGCGCACGGAACCAAAACAAACTAGCAAAGAGATTCACGAACCACACAGCCACTAGCGTTCTGACGCAGAAGCATAAAACGGCCACGATGCCGTAGTAGTGACGACGTAGCTACGCAGAAGCATGATGAGGCCTTCACAAACAGTTATTTTTCATACCTATCTGAATTTCAGTTGAAATAAAGGCCTCTGAGACACGTCTCTACTGATCTCCCAGTGTCGTCTAATCCCGTCACAGTGCATGGGTATGTACTGCTGTAGCTTTCTGTTGAGCATAACTTCACTGCAGATGTTCCAGTCTAGGCTTGTCTGTAAAACAGCTAATCACTCACAAAGCAGCAGTTTGAGAGATTGGGCGGCAGGGTGACATGGCGCTCGCTTTATCAGCTGCATTCCATCCTCAGATCCCATTACGAGTCTGTCTTGTACAGCCTCTTCGTGTGCTGCCTATTTCACAATTAGACTGGACTCTCCTCTTGGACTAATTCTATCAGGACTCGAGGATTAAATAGAGAGCTGGGCAAGATAAAGGGGCTTCTGATCTTCAATTCACCGCATAATTCGATGGATCGCCTACATACACTGAAAATGTGATTGATGGGTACACCAAACTCAATATAAACAGCACGAAGCTCACAGAATAGGCCGTCGGAAAACGCTACTCGAAATAAGGTACAATGAAGAACACTTACTTTTCTTCATTGTTTATTGCTTCATTGTTTTCTAGCCTGTTTAAAGCTGCAGTCCGGAGTTTTTCCTCAAATGTGATGATGCAACTATGATATGGTAACAATATCAGAAAGGTGGACAAAACAGTGCTGTTTGTTTGAGCACAACCAGTCATTTAGGCCGGGTGTTGATAGCGTGTGAGCGCAAGCGAGCACACGTTGCTATCTGTGTTTAAACTAAACTCATTTAAGCCTTGTCAATTTAAATGTTAATGCACAAGACAACACATATGCATGACAGCAGGAAACATTAGCAAGACAGTTGATCACAACACAAACAAGGGTGCTAGAGAAACACCCTAAGAAAACAAGAGCTGATGGAGGCAGTGCAGTTAAAGTCCAGATAAAGCTTGTGAGGCTTTGATGCACTCAGTCTAACATTATTCTAGACCACAAACTAAATGAAGCATTCAGTCTCTCAAGTGCTTTCGTTCAGGGTGCGGACAGACACCATACCTTACCTTCTTAAGTAGACCAAACACACCGTCTCTTGTTACTTTAATAATTCTCAGAGTTGATTTTCATAGTTTAGTAGTCTAGTCTATTAGTCTAGACTTAATCTCATTTAACTGCTCCCAAGGGATTTCAATGAGGTAATTTCTGTAATTGAGCTACCCATAAAGCATATGTAAAAGGTTGTGTGGCCTTGAGCCCAGGGAGCCCTAAGGGAGACCCTTTAAGACAGACCCTGATGAACAGGACCAGCATGAAAATTTCACATTAGGAGAAGGCTGGATAATGATGATCAAATGGGCAAAGTCCCAAAAAGAAACCCTGGGGGGATTCCTTTTCCATCATGCTTTACTCCTTTTTTCCCCCCTCTATTCTCTACTCAAGGTCAGTGCTTGAGGAATGATTTTTGGATTGAAGGATCTGGTTTTCACTCCAATTGTACATTATATGGGAGTGGCAGAAAGTGTAACTTGCAACAATGTTAGGATTTCAAAACTTTCAAACTCTCAAAATGATGCAAAGTACTCTTTCTGACTGCCACTGCTGGACTGTTGTGGGCAATGATTGATTTGTCAGGGGCCCATAAGAGCCTCCATATTCACATGTGTGCCTAATTCTGCCAGTGGTTACAATGGAGTCTGAGGTCTGGCAGAGCATTCCCCCATACTGAGACTCTAGCAGTTACACAACATTACTCTCTCTCTCTTTTGAGTCTACAGCAAAGTTGAGGGGAAATAGAATAATTCAGAGTAATTCACCGTTTCCCTGATAAGACTACATCGGACTTAACATTAATTGTTTATGTTCAATCCTCACACATGGTACTTGAAATCGTAATTTCAAGGTCCAGAAACCTGAAATCTGAAAGTAATGAAGACTAACATCAATTAAAATATAATTGAATTAAGTCAAAATAGTGGAGTAAATTGTCAGTGTGTCATTTCTGGGGCAAATGTACATACATGCATACATTTAATGCATTCACTTCAGGGAAAGCAAGTTAAATGATTGCCTGCATTTAAAATACATTTCCTTCTCCCCTAGGAGGAGTGCTAACCCCATTCACTACTCAGTCCAGGTTGCAGTCTCCAATTGGGACACACACACACATTACACTGTGGAGGCAACCGAGGGCTTTCAGTCGCCAATGTCACCTCTCTCTTTCTTGAAGATTATGTTTCAGAGGTGCAGACTCCTACCTGAAATTACATCTCAGGGGTGCATCTGATGAGCAAGGTAAAAAAAAAAATGTCCCATAAAGGTATTTAACTAGCTGTTACACAACTCTAACACTGAGAGAAACAACAGCGCATCGAGAAGTCAAATGTCCTTGCCTTCATGCTGTGTCTCTGGTTTCAACAATCTCCTGCTTTTCTGCTGCATCTGTACAAAAATACCGCGACAAGGGCACTGATGTTAGATATAATATGAACTCTAAAGGAAAACTGAGCTGTTTAAAAATCTGACTACTGGGCATGTTACAAGACTTCTTCCCTTTCTCTCAACTTATTTATCAGAATCAAATAAAAAGACAGCGTAGAAAAGGCCATCAAAAATACATATTTAATCTACATATCCAAGTCTGGATTAAATTATCTATTTGCTTTGCTTCCAGATGAATATTGTTGCTGTTACAGGTGTGACGGTTCAATGAGTGGTTGTGCAGATACCAGACAAAAATACCTCGATACCACGAGAGAAAAAAATTGAAAAATATAACAGAACTTACAATTCATTCATAAATAAATTACAAATATATAAATATATACAATTAAAAAAATAGATAATTTATTTTATCTTTGTTATTAAAATAAGCAAAAAAGGAAATTACAAACATTAAAAATATCTATATTGCAGTTTTCCCCCCATGGTCTCAGTGTCGAAATTGCGGCCAGTGAAAATGCTGAGTTGCTAGTAACTTTGGAAAACCACAAGCCACAGTGGCTGGTGAGCAAAAAACTTAATGTCAAGCCGTGTATGCATATCTAATGTGTAAATAAATAATAAATAAAAGCTTAATTTGTTCATTAAAAAATGTAAGGTGAATTTAAAAAAAAAACTAGATTAATAAATTAATAATGAAAAAATTATGAACAGCTCAAGTTTTGTAATCAGTTTGGATCAGCAAGGAAGCTATTCGTAATATCTAACATCTGAGCACACTTATTAGGGGCTTAAATCTGAAGAACACCAACACAAAAGGGTCGAAGCATTTCCGGAGAACACAGTGTTTGGAATAGTTCATACCCACTAGCAATTGTGATGGTGCCATAGAGGAAATTGTTAATGTGCTAAAAAAGGAAGAGAGAGCAGCAACAATCACTTCAACAGCTTCCTTTAGTGGGGGGCCTCTGAGAGGCTCATGGTTCAGGAGTGAGTCACGATGGAAAAGATGTCTTTTGAACACCCTGGCATGACTAAACACATCAGGGATATCAGACAGTGTTCTAAACCTCAGCACAAACTATTGTCTGACAGACATTCAGTTAAAGTATGTTAACATAAATGACCTAAAATATAAACCTGTAGGCAAGTTTCAACTCAAACTTTTCTCCCTGTGCCCTAAAACGGCTTTCCGAGCAATCAGATATTGCTGTTTTCCTTCACAGCTCATTGACTGTTCACAGGCAGCCTCTGCAGAGTTCCCTGGGAAAACAGTTTAGTTTGACTCAGGGAAGGCGTTTTCATTAAACAAAGGTATCGGTTTTCTTTGACATCAGTAAACATCACGTTATTAAGCATATGGAAACGTTCAGATGAGCACTTATGATTCCTGCCCAGCTGAACAGCAATCAACCAGTGAATCAATGAGTTAGTTAACATCCTCCTGCCATCCATCCTCAATGAGTTAGTTAACATCCCCCTTCTCTTCCACTTAGACTGTAGTTACACCTTTGCATTACGGGACCATATTTGCCCCCTTAAATTGATTTTCAGGTGCATTTTTCACCTTTAAGAAAATTCCATTAATTTAATTAATAATATAATAAACAATGCAATAAATGAAACTAAATCAATAATTTCAAATTAAATCAGTAGGGATGAGTCACGATTTAATTATAGAACATCGAATAGGTTGTGCGATTGTCTAAAAAAATGCCCATGTTTTTTCTGCTGATGCAGTGGTGATGCGTTTATGTAACCAGAGGGTGGTGCTGTCAATAACACACCTAAAAGCTATAAATCAACTCTCAGACAACAGAAGAACAACACGTTGCCTCACACCAGAGCTCAAGCACACGCATGAGAGTGCTCAAGCACACGCATAAAGCTTGCCACAAAGAATTGGCAAAAGTAATGATTACGAATGTGTCAAATATAACAAGGAGACATTTTAATTATTTATTAATAAACTAGTGTTTTTGTGTCAGTGTCTACTGCAAAGATGAAGTTGACAATGCTGGCTCGCCACCTTAGCAGTAGTGAACGCGCCTATAGAAATGCACATTTCATACGGATTACATAAGTTTGCCTGTTAGAAATACATGTTATTTTAATGCGAGGCAGAATTAAATGAATGGCAAAATTCTGCATTTTTTCCACATACCCCATCCGTCACCTCACATACCCATTTGGGAACCACTGCAGTATGGTGAAGAGAGTGAAGACCTTTGAATTACTGTGTGAATTTGATGAGTATTTGATAAGCTCCCCATTTCCGACTTAAATAATAAAATGTTTGTGAGTATATAACAAGCTGAACAATTCAAACGATGGAGTTTGCGTAGAGAAGGCACAAATAGCTAGACTAACTTCAAGCAGCATATCTGAATACCAATTAGATATTTAAGACTAAGCATGACTATGAATATAAGCTAATGCTACTCTGAATGTAATATGAAGGGAAGGAAAACACCCTTACCTCCAGTGCAGAGTCTGAGCAGAAGGTAGACTTCAATCAAAACCACAGTGACGGACAGAAGCTGAGCCATTGTCAAACAGCCTTGTCGTAACCTTTTGGGGTAAGGATGATATCAATGATGATGGCTGCTTATGCTCCTAAAATCCCAGTGAACACTAACATACGGTGGAGCAATCAAAGTTATGGCTCAAGGGACAGAAGAGATGCAGTGGATAAGAGGAAGGATGGGATGAAAATGGCACTAGAAACTTAAAGGTCCCTTCTCACGGGGTCCACGGCACTAGAATGACAAAAAAAAGACAAAGCACAAATGAGTAGATCATACCAGTCTCAATGCATCTTTCTAGATAAGTTAGACAATGTCTACAAACACAACATCCAAAAATGACTTTTGTACATAAACAAGCAAACTAGCATTCCTTTGGTCTGTAATGTAATTATGTGAATAATATGTGAACAATTTTTTTGTATGATCTATATATTTATAACCTTTTTGTAATAAAGTGTAAGATAATAGATTTTCCTAGACTTTCCTATTTCCTAGATCCACCACCACAAATACCTTTGAACATATCTATAGAATATAAACCCCAAATCTTATGAAAAATGCAGACTCCACTTTTGCTTGGGCAATGTTGTATTTTTTCTTGGAGGCACTGAAAATCATTGCCCTCTTGTTTTTTCTGGGCTTGACCCCTCAACCCGTCAGGCCGGCGCTACTCTTGAATGCTGAAAGATGCCCAAATAATTTGATGAAGGATGTTCCGCAATTACCCCGTTGGCCCCATGCAGCATTAATAACGTGATGTGTCTGTTCCCTTGTAGGCCTGTGCGTCTCACTGCAATTAGTGGCCTTCAGTGAAGTCTGTGCTGAGGGGGGGACAAATTAGTGGCAGAGTGGGCCGGTGTCTGTCACTTCTGATTTGCCCAAGGGGGACAAAGAGCCCCGACCTGTGCCCCACTTTCACACATCCCTGACCGGATAACAGGGAACAAAGCTAGCCTCCACAAGGCAAGGGACAAGATAGCTATGCAGGCACCTACAGAAAGAAGCTGCGGCTAAGTGCGCGTGTTAGGTTAAAAGGTACACAAGAAGCAGGATCACAACCAGGGAAAGATAAGGCCTGTTGCAAAAGACATGGATTATATGACAATTTATTTCAAAAAAGTAATAAATAGGATCCAAAACTCTTGAACAGTAACATTTACATGGTTGCATAGTTCGATTTCATTTAGCTACAATAATAATATGACTTTTAAAAAACAAATGTAAGTCTGTTTAACTGTAGCTTAATTTAATTATGACTAAATGTAATTGTATTCTTTTTTACTTAAAAAGCACTTCTGTTACAACGCATTTTTCCGGAAATCACAACACGTAGAAAACACCATAAAAGGCCAATGAAATCACTCATTCTACAGGTAAAATCAACTTTCATTCAGATGTTTCTTATGAATAGCTAAGCAAGTTCAGTCATGTCCTGACTTGAAAGCAAAACTTGGATGTACAAAAACAAAGAAGAAGTGGGGAGGACACCCCTGACACTGACAGCAGCTTATTATACTTCTAATATTAGACTGGTCACATTCACTAATAAACAGTGGAGACTTTGATATTAAGTTTAATATTAAGGCTGTTTTAGCCATGCAGTCATGTGTCTTGTGTCCATATATATATCACTATTATTGCTTCAAAAGTATCACGGATCTAAAAGCAATCTAAAAGCACACTATGTTTCAGTGTTTCATCAGACACTCCTGGAGCTCTGCCCTCTGAAAGGTTTTGGTGGCGCCATAAGAAGTACGGAGGCTGAATGAATAGGGGTATTGTATGGTGATGTGTGACTAAGGTGCACCTTTGCAGTCAAACCTTATGCCTGACCATGAATATCTGAGAAGGGACAAGGGAGTAATATTTTTCTTTTTTTCCTTGTGTGGAACTCAGGGCTTCCTCAGGTCAACAATAAAACAGTTCACCACAACATACAGGCGTTTTTGGAGGGGGTAACAACAATCAGCCGATGTAGGGTAATATTATGAAATAGAGACAATCTTCAAAATAAATCTCACTCTGCCTTTCTTATCACTTCTAACTACAGCCTGCATGACGACCAGAAAGGTCTGGTGTTTGTCTCCCCGTCGCCCCCGCTCTCTCAGCCTGCTTTGGCCTGGATCTCTGGTTCCTCCTGGGGCCCCTCCTTACAGCAGGGCTCCCAGTACCGGAGGCTGCCTTCCCTCAGTGTCGGCGCTATGCCCGACATGCCTTTCAAGGCCTGCTAGACTGCAGGGCAGACTTTCTGGCTCCTCTGCCATTGTTTGCTTGGCTGCTTTGCGCCTCATCCCAGGAAAGGATTAGCATAAAAATACTTAGGCACATTGAGATGTGCCCCACGACCAACTCTCTCTCTCTCTCCTATCGTCCTCACTTCTTCTCATCCTCCCTGAAGTCCCACATCTCTTCCTGACACAACACCAATCACTGTCAAGCGTGGAGAGTCAGTCAAGCAGAGACTTTGAACATAGCACAAGACTCCAGAGTCTTTGGTGTCACAGCAGTGGATTGCAGGAGAAGAACAAAAGTTAATCTGTGGAGCACTTGGGTGCAATATGAGCTCCTCTGGCCAGATTCCTCTAGAGGGGTAATGGGTTGAGACACCATTCCTAGAACAAAGCCCCCAAAATCTGAGCACAGTTTGGCTGCGAATTTAAGAAACTCAGCTCAACAACTGCCCGTCTGTGAAACACTAAATACATCTCACTATGATTTGATCTTAAAGCTTGATTGGACCAGTTACCATGACCTGAGTGCCGCCTGCTTGATTCTAGGGCTGGTCCGAATACCCTTTTTGAGCTTCGAAGCATCAGTAGTAATGAACATTGAATTTTCGAGGCTTCGGAAAAAAACTGGGAGTTGTTGCATTTTGATTATTTCGAGAACTGTTCATCCAAACAACTTGACAAGGGAGTGCAGTGCCGATTTGAACCCCTGCTCTAAGGCTCCGCTTTGTAGGCTACGACTCAATACTTTTTTGCTACTTTGTAATAACTTTCTGCGGCCAGAGTTTTGGCAAATGAATGAGGGTAAAATCTTTTTTAGACCTGACTTAATCAAATTTAAGACCTCAGATGAAAATCTGGCCGTTTTAAGGCTTTAAGGCCTTAAATTTAAAGTTCAAAATTTTAGACTTTTTAAGACCCCAACAAAACCCTGGTAAATATCAGTATCAGCCATTACAGCGCCACATATTTACATATTCATCAAACCTTCGGATGTTCGGTAACATTACATATCGCTGCTTGCGGATTTTGAACTTCGTTGTTACTTCAAAACGAAGAACGAAAAATAACTTAGCTGTGAATATTTATCTGGCCTTTTATACTTCTCTGTTTTTAAACTGAAGCTAAATAATTTTTAATTTCTTGGTATTTATAAAGGAACAAATATGAAGATGGAAAAGTCCACAAATTTTCTAGAGTTACTGAAGCAGCAGAGGTTTATTGCAAGTTTATTTTCCATTACCTGCCGCACACATTCCACCGAAGGGTCAGAGCGAGTGGGTGTATGGAGGTTTGATGAGAGCCAGGTTCAACACAGACAGCTACAGTACTCCCTATCTAATGTTCAACTATAGTGAACCATCTCCAAACTTATGGCCCTGCCCTGGGATTACGCCTCATATGGTCTCTATTATTAAATAAATAGTCTTGAGTTGACATTGTATATATTTAGACAAAAAAATAATAATAATTCAGCACAACACTATCAATCACAACTTCTTTTTTTTTCTAAGGGGAAATCCTTTTTTCCATCTGTGAAAATTCCTCCCTGTATTTCACAGCTTTGCATCTGCAGAGCACAATCCTGCACAACAGGTGTGAGAGAAGCTAGGTGGAGCTGTTGCCATGGAAACCAGTCACACATGGATGAATTTGTAAATGTATGGCATGTAAATGTTATTTCTCTAAAATGAATTCCCAGATCCAAACACGTGCATGGAAACCCTTTGTTGCAGTCCGGCCATCGCTGCAGGGAGCATTTCTACTGTGGTCATGTAATCACCACATGAAAACACACTTCTTGCTTGTACTGCTTGGGATATCTGCCTATAAGAGAGGTCAAGAAGAACTGACATTATCTTTAAGCAGAGGTTTTCTTACCGCACAGAAAGACCCATTTCTGTGAAGCATGTTGGCATAGTGTTTGGTAAGCATGGAGGATGGCTACAGGTGTCATTCGGATCCAGGTGGCTGAATGTCCAAATGGCATTTGGATTCTGTCATAGTACTAACAAAAACCTGTTAACAAAGCATAGGGATGTGTTAAAAAAAATTCAATTTTAATCGATTGATTCTCATTTTGATGAATTGATATCAAATCTCTCATAACTCCCAAGAATAAATATTTTAGACTATGCCATTTTCACAAGCTTTTTTCCATTTCACTTTTGATAAGTAACAGTCTAAGGTTCAACTTTCAATTTTATTACAAACTTCAAACAATAAATATATTTTTGTAATAATATAAATATATATTCTTATCCATAAATGTAATAAATTCAAAGTCAAGCAAGTGTTTACATTAGCAAAACATCCTAAATAGAAAGCGAGTCAGTGTTAGACTTCAACAAGCATGTACACATGTGCAGCAAGCCCAAACAGTTCAACAAGCTGGAGTGCACACTGTAACTAAAATATGAATTATTAAAATTAACAACATAGGCCTATTTGTTGTTGGACATTTTTAAAATGTAATTAAATCAATGTGAATAAAATCATTTTGAGTGATAATTATATTATTAGAAGAACAGAATAATCAAAATATGTGATACAGAACTGATACACATTGCTGTTCAGAAGACCTCTGAAACTAACTTGTTTTGTGGCTTTGTTTGCCTTTATTATCTATAATTTAGTGACTGAGGCTTTATGTGAACAAAACACTTTTTGTTTGTGTAGCGCAGCCTACATTTTTATTTGTTTTTAATTGCACATTGTTTGGAGAACACAAGGCTGGATGTGGAAACACAGAAAAAACAGAAAGGTGTTTACCTGATGCTGCACACAAAACTTGAACTAATTACCTGACAATATTTAAAAAGACAAAAATAAATATCTTTTGACAAGTAATTAAGCCTTTTTGGTTACTTTGGTTCGGTTAACATGATCTTTCTGGCTTTTTCTTAAGCAGAACAAAAAGACTAAAGTTTATATCTAAAATCTCCCACAGAGTGGAATTAGACTAGCCTAGTTATTTTACAAATAGAAAAGTGCTGGTATAGACCTTATGTGGCTCTGCCCCTATTCAGCTTTTGAATTTTCACAGGATGAAGGAAAGATCTTACAGATTTATGAATGAAGTGCTTGTTTTAAAATCTTCCCGGCTTAATGACTTTTGTTGGCATCCACTTTACACTAGTGGTGTCAAACGATTAAAATATTTAATCACGATGGATCGCATTAATGTCATAGTTGACTCGCGATTAAACGCACATTTTTATTTATTCTAAATGTCTCTTGATTTCTTTTTGTCCCATTATTTTTTTCTTATTTTAATGGTCTTATGAACATGGAAAAGTGAATCAGCTTGCTTTGTGCAAATGTTTTTATTGAAAACAACATTTGCATATACAGTGTACAATTTCACACATTCTCACTTGGAGCAAATAATCTCTCACACAATGCAACACTGTCCATCAATAAAAGAGTGAAAAAAAAACTGAGGTCCTGATATTGACGAGGGGTGGAGAATTCGCATCAGCTGAATGTGTGCTAGGCCATCAAGTGGTATTTCAGACTGGGTGTGCTGCGATGATGATGATAGCTCAGTTCACAACGACAAAACACACAGATCACATGGTCTTGTCAATGGAACCATTTGGCAACATTTTAAAAGTAAACTTTCTATTCAGAAACTTATTGGCATCCATTTTGATGTCTGGCGCTCGTCATCCACTCAAAACGTAACGTTAACCTTCTACTTGGCTGGCTCGTAGACCCAAGCAAGTGTGTGCAGTGCCTGTTGTTTTGTTTCCGGTCTAGCTAGATCCGCTTTGGTCGACAAAGCAACAAAACGTCCTCATGCGGTGCAAGCCATAGAAATGAATGGGTTTCACAGCGCAGCGCCATGCATGACACGTCCTGTTGCAAAAGCATGTGGAAAAAAAACTACAAAGTTTGCTAGGCCAAAAAGACTGAATTGCGCAATAAAAAAATAGACGCAGTTAAAATGGGTTTGCGTTAATGCCGTTAATAGCGAGCTTAACTGACAGCCCTACTTTAAACATTACAATGCTCATGATGAATTGTGTTAATTCTACAATAAGTAAATCCACTAAATACAGCAATGCCAGAAATATACAGAGTTCAAACACAAAATTGTAAAGCTAGCTGCACGCTTGTTTCTCTAACTAACGCATAAGGTCTATAAACAAGGGCTGGTGTGATGGCATTCCATAACACACAAGATGTTCATCACATGGCATTTTATATTAACAAAAATGCACATGTATAAACATTTTCTAGTTCTCTACAAAATTAAGTTTCCTAAATAATATGGGAAAACAAGTTTTCTAGCTCATTACAAGACCAGACACAAGTCTTTTTGGTTGTCTTCTTTGCACTAACCCAACCCATCTTTGAATTCACCCTATCTGGTGCCACTCTAAATAATTTACTCCGATAGCCAAGTGTATTTAAAGCAGATCAATACCATTAAAGGACAGCTGGGGCATACTGAATAAACAGAGACCACTCTCCAGCACTACACCAAGCCCCCACTGCATAGCTTTATCCAATCTATCTTTATCTGATCTGCCATCAGACTAACCAACAGTGGCGTAGAAAGAGTTAAAAGTAATCAATGGCTCTCCCTCGCTTTCCAACCATCCATTGGAAGCACAAGCACATAGACTCCACAGCCTGCAGTAAGTGTTAAAGAACAGTCTGTTCAAAAAACAGCGCAGTAGTGAGTATCAAATGACCGAGCTCATCTAGGATTAGTTTTTCACCTTTTAGATCAGAATGATTTGACTAACTGTGGGTGAGGGTGATACATCAGCACCTTTACGATGGAATGGGGACTCAGGGCCAGGTCTGAGGAGGCCATGTGTGTTTTCCTTCTTGCTTAGCCATCCTGTCTCCAGAGCGAATAAGGGAGGGGTAAGGGGGCTGACTTTAGATGGTGCAGCAGCCTGAGGAACGCAAGCAGGGATGTGAAACCTGATCTATACTGCCTCTTAACCCTCCTGCCCCCATACCCCTCCAAGCTCCCCGCGCTGCCACCTCGGCACAGACTCCCACTGCAATCTGATCCCTCGCACTGTGGCTGAGATTGAAACACACTCCTAGAGGGCTCCAGGGCAACTTAATCTAGGCTTGGCTGATATTTTAAACAACAAATAAGAGGGCAAAACATATGTGCTTATTGTTGTATGATATTGCAGCCTTTTAAGCAAATAAGTGATTGATTTTGCACATTCTACGAGGAAAAGATCTGTGCTAGTAAGAATATGCCAATGAGGATTTTCAACCCAGGGTCCGGGGAACTCCAAGGGAGTACTAGGGGCTCACTGGAAGTGCTTAGGGAAAAACATTAATTAAAATAATTAAATAAAAAAATGGCAAAAATACATCTACTTTGGTATGAATATGAAATGTAATAATTGACTTAACAGAAAATATATATATAAAAAATGAAAATAATACTATTTAGCTGCATTTACCTTTTTTTACAGTATCCTTCATATGAGGATGATCATATTTAATCTATTGAACACTCCTGCACTAAAACATCTCTTTACTCTAGACACAAAGAACATGCCCATCACATCAGCATAACAATTAACCAGTCATTAACATTCAAAGAAAGACAGTACGAATAATTGCTCTAGCAGTAAGAGTAAATTACCATCACATGATACTACAACACACACACAAATATCAGGACATACAAGCATTTAATAAATTGATCGTTCAGATATGTACATTCTGTCATCATTTACCATGCCGTTCCAAACGCGCAAGACTTTCTTTTATCAGTGAAACTAAGATGTGACTTGATACAATTGTTTTTGTTGTATGGAAAAAAGATTCAGTGAAAGTAAATAGGGTCTCCGCTCCTTATAATGGTCTACGTAACATCTCCAGAAACTCCTACAGGTTTAGAATGACATGAGGGTGAGTAAATGATTTCATTTTTGAATGAACTCCTTTACACAACCTGGTTCTCCTGTTCTCATCAGCACAGAGCTCACAGAATTTGACCAATATTATTTTTTGGAGAGGAGATTTTCAATCAAGCTGTGGAATGCACAGATGTCTGGCATGTATATACTAAAAGCCTTTAGCTTTAATTTTATAAAATAAATCCACTTTCCTCAGACTAAGCCTCTCTCCTCCAGGCCTCTCGAAACAGACTGCTTCACAGGCACTTACCATCTGTTTTTTGACCTCCTTGAGAAGGTAAAGGAGCTGAACAGACCCCCTTCCCCCCAGAACCCATAAATTAAAAGCAGCTTTTGTATTGAGAGGGCTAGAAGTACAGCCACAAGAAAGAGAAAAATCTGAAAGAAAGGGAGTACAACTACAAACTGTACAATAAAAAGAAGAAAAGCTAAATGTAATACATTGATTTCCATCCACAGATGCAAACATTTAATAAGTTAAAAGCTGTTTTTGTATTGAGAGGCGGATACGTGACCAGACCAGCCTGAAGTTAATAACAATCCATGACAAAGTATATATAACCAAAAATATAAAGAAAACCATATTGTTGTATAGTAAGTACATACAAAACATGTAAACCAGTAGGCATTTGAAGAATAAATTAATATTTAGAGGACACGCACAGCTGTCATATTATTAGGGAAGTTGTTGCTAGCATTACGCGACTTTCGCGTTAGTAACTTTTTACTATGACTTTTACAGTGACAGTTTTTCTTCCAATAATAATAATGCTATTTTAAAAATATAACAAACCGTAAATTTACGAGGATACTGTATTGTTTTGAGAAAATGCAGTTCTGGTTATTAGTTGAACGAGTAAATTTAAACGTATTTTGCCTAGCTAACAGCGATAGCTCACTAGCTATCGTTCAACTCGCCGCACTCTTGAGATAATTTACCAACAAAATAATTTAATAAACTCGTAAACGTCCACCGTTTTTTCTCTATAAACCTTGTACATGTGTGTACTGTGTAGTGAAAAACTGTAACACGCCACGACATTCGCTTTTGCCTTAATACGTCGAAAAAATGGAAAGTGGAAAATGGAAAATCCAACGTAACAAACTTTCGTGAGGCACAGCGTTAGCTTAGCCAAGCTAACACTTTCCATTTCACTTACCGAAAAGATTCTTCAGTAAATCGTATTTTCGTGTACTCCGTAAATTTCTCGGCACTGGAATAATTCAGAGGGTCGGTTGTAGTAGTGGTCGTGATCGACTCTCACTGAGGTCCGTCAAGGGTCTGGCACTGACCATCATCATAGAGCGTTCCGCACTCTCTGATTCCACGCAGTCAGCGGACAGCAGCTCACGGTCACGGCAGAGCGCGCGCGCTGATTGACCGACTCAGTAGCGCCACATGGCGACTGAAACTAAACAGTGGCGACGAACTTGTAATGAACATTTTCAAGTATTAGTACATTAGATAAGACATTTAACCGAAAGTTTTTAAAGATAGAATCATATTGGTTCATTTTATTTCATTTTTAAATTAACACATGACTGATTAACATTATTTAGGTCATCCTTACACTATTTTTGTATGTTATGTGCCATTTGTGTATTCCATACATTGCATAAATCCTTTAAAAGACAGTTTTAAACACCATTTTTCAATTGACAGAGTGCAAGTTGTACAGGATTATTATGATTTAGATCTAAATAAAACAAATAATGAGACTTAAATATTACAAAATGTCAATTAGGCTGTCCAGTCTGCAGTATGGTTTTATTTAATCATACATCAAGAAAAGTGTCCATCAAATTTTGTGTTATGAGCTATTTTCAGTTTATAAAGCAACTTAATATTTTTAGTCATGATTAACATGTCAGTGAAGATACAGGTGGATTTTTGTGTTGGTTTGTTTTACATTTAAATAATGTACAAAGTAAGGCTGTTTCCACAACATCATTTCAGAATACAAAAAAAGAGAGCACCATTACTAGTACTAGTTATCTTGAAAAACACATACCCATTAAGTACTACATAAAGTAAATGAGTAATCCATAGAGCCGCATCTCAGTCTGAACTCTCATACAAACATTGTATTATTCAACAGAAGACTGCATTGAAGACACTTGAGAACATGAGTGTCACGTATAACATACTGTATATGTTTGTTTTTCTTGTTGCAGTAACACTGCAAATGTATTAAATTATGAATCACTCTTTTTTCTCCCTGTAATTCCCAAGTGAACTGCAGATATAGCAGATGACAAATAGTAATAATACATTATGTGTAACATGACTGATTTACATTTAATAGTTACATTCAAAACATCTGTTCTTGAAAAAGGCTAAAACGATACCCACTCCTGAACCCAACACTGCTACAAATGTAATTTTAAATAACTTACTAATGTTGTGTAAAAAAAGAAGCTAACGATTTATTCAATTTAAGAGAGGCAATTATGAAATGCAAAACCATTGTTTGTGTTAATATTCAAAAGAAAAAAAAAGCCAAAATCAAAAGCATCCAGAACACATCTTAACTGAGGTGATGTGGTGGGTTAGGTTAACTTAGATTAATAAATGGCAGTGAAAATATACTGACACATCAATGACACAATCTTAAATCTTGCTCAATCTTGTTAAAGTGAATTGCATTAATGTTCAATATCACCCCGCATTTAGGAAAACATGTGTCTGCAATTGCAATCTCATAATTTGACCTTGATGTTCTTTAATAGGCATGTGGCGTGAAACAAAAACTGTTCTGTAACCCTACAGTTGCACAGAGAATAAAAAGAACAAAGTCTCAGGTACCACATTTGTTATTCATTTAAAGTAACAAATTCATTTACTTGAAATCTCTGTGTATATGGTTCTGTTTTAATTAAATTATTAATTAAATTATATTAAATTAAATTAAGAACCCCCATTCTTGGCAAAGAAAACAAGTAAATTATGTGTAAAGATTATGTAAATATTGAGCTTACGCACGCAATAAATAACCGGAAAAAAACATCATAGGTGAAAAGGCCAAACATGAATAGTTTAAAATACTCTTGTTACATTATACAGCACATACTGTGAGGGAAACAACTGATGAATTACCATAGATTCTGTGTTACCTTTTCAGATGTCCTGCATACAGCATTTTCTTAAAAATTGTTGATGAAAAAACATAATGCTAATGTTGACATCACAAATGCATAATAAACAAAATGAGTAAAACATAAATCACCCATTCAGCATTGAAAAGACTGCACAACAACATTCGTTCTCAATCTATTAAACATCTTTTTTTGATCAATTTGCAAAGTCTGGGATCTTTACACCATTTACAGTAAGTCACACACATTTAAGTTTACTTTTAGAGTTTAAGGCATAATAGAATGCATAGACTTTTTTCCAGGCTGTTTCTGGTTTATAATGATACATTTGCAGGCAATCTTCAACATCCGTTAATAACCTATTCATTTCAAAACAAGGTTTTAGTCATTAATAGCATAAAAATTGTATGTTGTATAAATTCACTAAATCAAAAAAGTGAAGATGTCATATCTCTTAAATTATTGTATATCGGGCATACAAGTGCATGTATGCAAATGTATAGAGCTATAATAAACGAATAAAAGAAGGACCTAAAATAACCAATACTCTATGTGCACATTTGATTTGGATTTGGCAAAAATGTCAAAACACTTAGTTTACGTTTCATTCAGTCATCGCTTATTATGTTGTTTAATAAATGATGTACTGTATGTCTTTATATTAGTTTTGTGTCATTTGAATTGGCACCAATGTCTTGCCATAAAACCACAAATGCAGATGGAACATTAATTGCATTTAGTTCCTTCCCTTACAGCTTCTAATGCACTGTTGAAGCATCTACACATTGATGGCATGTGCATGTTTCTTGCATAAGGGCTTGTCCTTCTTGGAGTAGAAAGGTTGTCCTTCCAGGTTCACGTGGCACACCTAAATGTCGAGACAGAGACGTGTCATAATTCCTTAGTGTTGAATTATTTATAAAGCAAATGGGTGCTACTGTACAACAAACCTACCGCACAAACAAAGCAGGTATCATGCCATGTGTGGCCAAGAGCTTCAATAAATTTGTCTCCTGCCTCAACAGGGAAGTCACAGCCATGGCACTTTGTGCTGAAGAGTGAGATATAATCTGGTGACAGAAACAATTAGTGAAGAATATTGCACTGTGGGCTGTAAATTTGCATACACCCCACTTATAAATGTACACATTTGTGTTAGACATAGTCGGTGGCTCCCATACCTTTCTCACAATACGGCTCACCATCCTCCATATGGAAGAGGCTGTTTCCAAAGGGCTTTCCACAAGCCGCGCACACAAAGCAAGTGGTGTGCCAGGTCTGCCGCAGTGCATGCATCACTTCCTATTGAGCAGATGTTGAGGGGATTACCTGACAGTACCTGTGAAAAGTGTTTACAATAATGTGTGTGCATGCGTATGCAATGTTAATAGGTTTTCGACGTACTCCCATGATCTTGGTGTTGCAGCGGGCACAGGTGGGTGCAAAGAACTCCCCATAGCAGTTCTCACAGTAAACATTATTCTGCTCCTCCACAAAGCTGACATCAGCCAGAGATGTGTGGCAATAATGGCAGTTGAACTCCTCTGGATGCCAGGAACGACCCAATGCCACCAGGAATGGTCCCCTGTGGAGTCAAAAAAACACTGTGGCATCAGGGCTCGTGAAAATAATTCCTTGGATATTCATGAACATTGTCATTTTTTAATTAAGAAAGTACTGAACATCTCAAATTACACAACAGTTCAAGAGGTTGGGATCATTTAATATTTTTAAAAAAAGAAGTCTCTTTTGCTCAACAAGGCTGCAATTATGTAAAGGGAAATACAGTAAAAACAGTAATGTAGCGAAATATTATTACAATTTAAAAAACAAAAAATTATTCCACTATATATAAAACGTAATGTATTTTCAGCATCATTACTCCAGTCTTAAGTGTCCCATGATCCTTCAGAAATCATTCTAATATGCTGATTTGCTGCTGAATATATTTTTGTGTAAGAACAGCATTTATTTGAAAAAAATTAAACAATGTAAAACTCTTCTCTTTTGATTTAAGTCATCCTTGCTCAATAAAAGTCTACATTTCTTTACAAAAAAAAAAAAAAACTTTGTACGGTAGTACAGTATACTGTATATATTGTGTTTAATAGCATCATGTGATGAAAAAGGTCAGGAAGTGGAAAACCTAATATAAACATTACATTTGTAAATGTTAAATATTAAAATGCTTATTTCTCCTTTGTTTAGATTATCATAATTTTATTTATTTAATAATTCATATTTTTAATATGGATGTTTATATTTTAAGATCGAACACATTGTAATAGAATAAAAAACATACACACAAAATAAAATGCATTTTAAATAAGTAAAATGAACAAAAAAAATTGTAAAAGTAAAACGAAATCTATGACAATGTTAATATGACCTTCATACAACTAAAATAAAAATGAAACTCCAGGACACAAAAGTGCCTGAAGTAGAATAAAAACAGATATATATATTACAAATGGTCAAGTGATGAATATTGTACAAATTATGCGTAATCATACCTGATGATGTTGTTGCATGATCCACACAGAGGTGTTCTGTTGCTGGCTGCAAACCGCTCTGCTCTTTGAGCGACTCCACGAGCCACAGGTGGGAAGGCCGCGGGGCTGAACGGAGCAGGGGAAGGGTTGAATGCAGCAGGAGCGGGAGCAGGGGCGGGGTTGGGGATGAAGGCTGGTGGTGGTGGTGCCGCCTGAGGAAGAGGCTGCACTTTGATATTTGTGGTGGTGGTGGGTTTGCTAGGGTCAAATTTCTGGGCAAAGTTGTCATCAGTGACCCAAGGAGGCCTGTTGGAAGATGCTGGTGGAGGTGGAGCAGGTTTATAAGCCATTGGAGGAGCTGGTGCTAAAAGATGCCCATGAATCAGTATTGCATTCATACAGTGAACCAAAAATGGACACACACATACACTGAATACACAATCACATATGTGACCCTGGATCACAAAAACAGTCACAAGTAGCATGGGTATATTTGTGGCAATAGCCAACAATAAATTCTATGGGTCAAAATGATAGTTCCAGATCTAAGGGGTGGAGATGGTTAGGCTTAGGGTGGGGTTAGGGATGAGGGGGCGCAGATGGGTAGGATTAGGGGTGGGGTTATGGATAGGGGGGATGGGTCGGATTAGGGTGGGTAGGTTTAGGTGTATGTAAATTTTGTGGATTTCGTGTTCTGCAGTGAGGACCATCTCACCTCAGATTGCAGATTTTCAATGTAATCTAATTTTTTTGTTGTATCTAGGCCAAATATTGTCCTGTCCAAACAAACCATACATCAATGGAAGGCTTATTTATTCAACTTTCAGATGATGTATAAATCTCAATTTCATAAAATTGACCCATGTGACTGGGTTTGTGGTCCAGGATCACATATGTACAATGGTTACCTGGGGCAGATGGATATGCTGTGGGCATAATGGTGGCAGTGGTGACCACTTTAGGTGGAGGCGGACCTACAGGGATCTGTATGGAGCTGTGCTGCATGGGTGATGGCTGCTGCATAGGTGGAGGCTGGGCGTAAGGACTACAGAAGGACAGACCAGAAACTCAACAACATTTCAGTTCAATGAGAAGCTACTCCACCTTTCTGCTTTTCCTACACAATTGAATACATTCACATTACACTTTCATCCAAAGCCACATGCATTGCATTCCAAACATTTTGCGTTCTCTGGCAGTCAAACCCAAGACCATGACAATGCTCAACTGGACATATTATATTTAAATTATATATGGTGCACTTTATTTCACAGTCCTGTTAATGACACTAACTAGGTACTAACCCTGAACCTACCCCATGTAGTACCATACTCATTACTTTTGTGGTAAGAAAACTGGGAGTACATCGAAAGTGTACATACTGTAAAATAAAGTGCAACCATTAATTATATTATTGGTATTTTTTGAAAATCAACTACAAAATAAAAAATTGAAAAAATCTTACGGACCCAAACTTTGTACGGTAGTATATTGTGTTTAATAGCATTATGTGATGAAATGTGATTTTTTTTTTGGAATAAAACAAGAGGCAAAAAAGTGTCACCACAACTCAGGAAGTGGAAAACCTAATATAAACATTACATTTGTAAATGTTAAATATTAAAATGCTTATTTCTCCTTTGTTTAGATTAGGACATGTTACAGACCATACTGACACTGGGATGGGGAGAGAATGCTTAGTGGTTGAATGCAGAGCTGGACCACAGTATTACCTGGAGATGGAGGTTTGGTACTGAGAAGTGTAACCCATAGAGGTCTGCAAGCTGAAGCTATAGTGTAACAAAGAGAAAAATGGTGGACAGTCAAACTGATCATGCCTAGATTAAACTTGAGAGAGGCCATGTCCACTCATATCTGTACGACTGCCAAACCGATCCAAATATTGCATGTTTTTATGTCTATGTGAAAAAAACAAAAACACAAACAGGATCAGATACTTTGGTTTTCCAAATCAAATGCATATGGAAATTAATTGAATATGCAATAACCCTTTAAAGAACTACGTTGTGTTCTGTCTTCATAAAGTATGAGTGAATATGGCATCAAATAGACCACGCACAAATCATCTTAGATGCAGACACATACAAAACAGAAAATAAACATGCACTCAAAGCAAAGACACTATGTACCAACAACGACTAAAATAAGGCCCAATTTAACACAAGATTCATATATTTCAGGACTGAGTGTGAAAGAGAGGACCTGAGAATTAATAGTCTTTGTCACCTCCCTTAGTAGAAGACAAGTGAAAGATAGTCATCTAAGTCTGAATTAACAAGACATATGACTATATGGATTCTAATAAAGATATCTTGAAAATAAGTAGTTCCCTCCAGTCTGCATGCAATAAACGCAAGACTGCTGGATCAGTGCTAGCAATAGATACATGCAAAGAGTGCAGATTCTGCCATGTCTTAAAAATAACAAATGAGCATTAGTTGACATGGTACAAGGACCATGGGACATGGAAATGTACACTTCGGTCTCAAAATGATTTTCTCTTTGGTATAAAAGTTCATATTAAATCTCTAGAAATAAATCCAATTTTTTATTGTACTAACATTTTAATATTAATTATAAGAAATAAATGTGTTGAAAGGGGTTCTACTGTATAAGACTAAATTGGATATCTGGACTTGACAAGGACATGTTAGAGATTTATAAACATGTCTTGCAAAAGCAAATAAAAAACTTGAGGCACACACTAAAGCACCTAGTTTAGCAGTACAAACGTAGTACTCTTTAAAGACGGTACATAGAAGTGCTTACAGTAATCTTAAGCTTAAAAAGGTCCTGGTGTTGAACAGATGCCACTCATAAAAGCAGAAGCTCAAAACAAATAATCTACCTGGCAATGACAACATGGATCAAATCAAATATGAGTTACTCGCTTCCTTAGGTTAGGTGGAAGAGTATTAGCAGTAATAAGCAGTAGCAAAGGAAGCAGCTGCAACATGAAATTGAGTTAAGACAAAGAAGATCGTTATTGATTATAACATTAATATGACTGGAGGATTGGCTTTGCTTTGAATCTCCAGGATCAATTGACTTTGTCCCACAATCTCTCAAATGTTATAGGCTAAAATCTAATACCAATAACATCTATCACATGTCTCCACTAATAGAAGTTAAGTAACATTGGAATAACTCGTTAATGCTACTGTATATACCTGCAAATCATCAAAACAAAAATAATAACCCCCCAAAAAAAAATATATATATAAAAAAAATAATCAAAAACATACATACAGTACAGATGTTTGAGGTCGATATAGGATCTTTAAATTTTGGAAAAATCAAGGCATTTATTTGATCAAAAACACAGCTATACTACCAAAATATTATTTAAAACATACAAACAACATTAAGAAAAAAAATAATAACAACACATTCCTGTAATGGCAAAGCCGAATCTTTCGCTTTAATATTTTTATGTTTTATTATTTTTCGCTAATCTTATTATTATCAATGTTGAAAACAGTTATGCTGCTTAGCATTTGTGTGGAAACAGTGGTACTTTTTTGCAGGATACTATGAATGGAATTTGAAATGGAAATATTTTGTAACATTTTAAAAGTCTTTACTGTTACTTTTAGACAATTTAAGGCATTCTTGCTGAATTAAAGTTTGTGTTAGTTTGTTTCTTTGTAAAAAAGAAAAATGACATTGACCCCAAACTTTTGAACAGTATGCATTGCATGTATACATACCAATGTGGAATACATTAAACTAAGCAACGGTAAAGCAAGAAAGAAAATGCAACGCATGCAAATTTACCTGCTTACAGTGGTTTGCTCGGGAATCTCAGGCACCTGATTGACTATCAGCGGCTCCGAAAGGAGCTCATTGGGCGAAGCAGAAATAGTAGGTGCACATATGGATGCAATGCTGGTGGAAACTGGAGCATGCTCAGCAGGAGTACTAGATACAAGGTTAGGTTGCAGTGATGTCAGAAACTGATGTCAGGCTGAAGCCATCAATACAGACAGCAGCCATGCTCAGGCCGTGTATGCATTTATGCCTTCATTTGAAAGTTACATTTTGTCATAAGCAGCTGCTTCATTCTCATGCAACATTGTTGAATACAATGCAAGGATGTCCATCATGGGGGGCAGGAAATGTTAATTGCTTTCTTCTCATTAGACTATTCGTATCAATTTTTTCATTGAAGGATGTCTCGGCAGCAGAGACAACTGTAAGTGCTATTCTAGGATGAATTAAATGAATCCAGACAATAAGGCTACAATCAATTTCGTGCTCGATCAGGGAAAATGAACTGCAGATGGCAGGACCTCACCATTTTAAAGTGACGTAGAGTATAGAGGTTATGTAAACGCTCTTAGTCTGTCCATAAAACACAATTAAGTGGTTAGAGAGCAGTAGATTAGTGATAAATGATACTCCCCTGTGATCCAAGCAAAGAAAAGTGCATTATTCACATTTCATTTCTTTAATCATTTGGCATCCCCCTATACATAATCAAACACATTTTGACTGAAGAAGATATATTGGTGTTGGAGCCGCCCAGGCAGAGAGAAGAAAGAGGCAGGCATCTAGCAGCAGCAGGCCTGGTGGTGGACCGATGATGACTGACCCCCTTCACACACATCCTTTCTGACCATCTCTCTATTACTCATGCAGTTTATGTGGAAACTGCCCACCGGGTGGGGCAGAGGGAAAAGATGAAATAAAGAGAGCATTTAAAGCTGAAGTGCGTTTTATTTCATTTCATTTCATAAGTACCTAATTAAGTGATTCCTGAGTGTATTTACTTGAGCATCCCGACCAGGCAAAGCAGCAAAATTGGCACAATCTCATGAGAAAACTATTGACTGAAGTGGTGATCTTGTAAGAACTCATGCCATGTGACTTTTACATTTCGTACAGAAATGTAAATTTAATTTAAATGTGAAAGTATCAGTTTAGAAGCATAAGCAGATCATTCTAAAATATGTACAAATTAGCCACCGATTCACAAAAAACATAACATTTATTCGTTTAGCTGACACTTTTATCCAAAGCGACTTAAAATTGCTATATATGACAGAGGTCGCATGTCTCTGGAGTAACTAGGGGTTAAGTGTCTTGCTCAGGGACACATTGGTGTCTCACAGTAGATTCGAACCCGGGTCTCTCACATCAAAGGCATATGCCTTTTCCACTGCACCATCACCACCCCTACATAAAAGTTATGAAGTGCTATGAGAGTGTGTTAGCTTAACCAGCGGTGTGAGTTAATTGGGGGACCGTTCTGGAAAGCCATTTAAAAGCAATTGAGAATTCGATTTTGTGAATTTAATGAAATTCAGAAATTACACACTTCAGCTTTAAATATCATTCCGTGTATTATGGGGATGGAAAAGAGAGAAAGGTCTGTAAATGTTGGTTACAGACATTTGTGAAGCCTTCATGAAGATTTAAACACTTTCTGTGGTGAACATGTGTGCGTATTGAGTGCCTTTCTGTTATTTTGAGGTGTACATTGTGAGAAAGTGTGTGAATTTGTGGAGCTTTGGGGAAGGTGTGCTGTGGCAGAAAGCAAACACAGATTAGCATTCATAGCAAGCTGTGAGAGACTGAAATTAGAGAAATGATTAGAAAAAATCTGAAGTGTATAAACAAAAAAAGTATACTGTAACTTGAGAAATGATGATTACATTACTCTTTCTTACTCTCTTATGTCTCTCTTACTGCCTTATCTCTCTCTCTCACACACATACATTTTATAGGTCATAAAGTCCTAACACTATATTCTTCAACTGGCTATGCTGTCAAACTGACACTTTTTTAGTTATATTAGCAAAATCTTGAATCTAAGCAAATATTCAGAGAATCAGATCACAGAAGCAGACAATGTCTTCAGATTGAGGGGTTGTAATTGAAACATGTACTAAACTACTTCCAAACAAGTAAATGGCTAATTCATAGAACAGGACCGGAGAGCAAAGAGAGTCAAGACAGGCAGGTAATTCGACAAGATACTGCAGTGCCACCTGCTGGCAATTTATGCTTGACACATAGTTTGGACATAGGGAAAGAGTGTTCTCATCCTTGCATTAGTGCAACACAGTCTCATGAAAAGCAGCCTAACATGTATACTATCACTGTTCTTCTCTTTTCATTCACACATGCAAATTAGCATGAACAAAATTGGCATAGTAGGGGGTTGCGAAGATGGACTGAATGAATACTGAATGAAATATGACGTTCATGCAATAATAACATCCACACATGGAGGAACTGTAATACTTGGATGTTGGATATAGTTTCAATTTATCCAACCCATGCAGTATTAAGTATCAGTTTCCAAATGTATAACTGTTTCGAGGAAAATATTACGTTTTGTTGTTAAAGAAATCTATTAACACTAAATACAGAAAATGACTGAGAATCGAGTTTTAAATAAATGACAATTTAGCTGCATTTATCTACTTACAATCAATCATGACATGAAACAACCATTATGAGATTGGTTAAAAACACCAAACCAATCCTTCGATATATATATATAAGAGGATTCAGGGGAGGATTTCTAACAAGGTAATAGAGAATATTTCTAAATGAATAAAATTAGTTAAAAAAAAAGGCTGTTAAATATGAATAAACTAAAGCACACTGAATGATAGCAAAAAACAACATAAGAAGATACAGACTAGTACAGCAGAACAACAACAAACATACAATTCGATTCATACAAAGCTGTTTGGACCATAAATGGCACTACAGACGACATATTAGCATGACGAAAAGAGAAATTTGTCAGAAAACACCAAAATCATTGTTTCTTGACAAATTGGAAAACATAGCGGCACTCTGCTGACTTGACATTTCAATATTTAAAAACTACAATAATAATGATAATAATAGTATGTCTAAATAATTTAACTTATTACTTACTATTTCCAATTATACCGTGTTGTTATTGTATTTATTAACTAAAAGCTTTCAAATTAAATTTTAATTATTTGAAATAAAGCTATTATAATATAGTATATAAATTATTATATTATTATATATTAATCTAATAAATATTAGATATAAAAAAAAAAACATCTACATTACTCCATATACATTTGAAAACGGTGTTCCCCCATCCACACTAGAGCAGAAGTGTTTTCAAAAAGTTGCTCATCCGCACTAAAAATACTAAAATCACCTTACTTCATATGCGTAAAACATAAAAAGCTCATGAGACGATACCGAGAGACCAGATATAATAAATTTATCAAGCAATTTTTCTGACATGATCATTTTATCAGCAAAATATCCCACCACTCTCTGTTACGTCCAGGGCGCACTCAAAATTGTTTAGTCTAAAACGCAATTGTCATGTTTGTTTTGCCGCAGGACAGCAATTGTAGTCCTTTTTAGTCCTTTTTGCAGATCTGTGTGAATGGGGATAGTTTTGACGACATTTGTCTTCTGTATACGAAACATTGTCTTTAGTACACCGTTGTCATGTAAACATACCCTCAGTGTGGACAAGGTCTTAAAGAAACTGAAGAAATGTTGCCATGGCAACTAACTGAAATAGAATAGGTTTAAGTTGAAGTATTAAAATGACTAAACTAAAAGTGAAATAGAAAATATTAAAGCTGAATGAAAAACAAAACAAAAGCACCTTATAAAATGACTAAAACTTAAAATTGAAACTTACATTTTAGTTTGTTTTAGTCATTTTGTTAGGTGCTTTTGTTTTGTTTTTCATTCAGCTTTAATATTTTTTGTTTCTGTATAGTTTAGTAATAAAATAAAATTCAAAATATTACTACGTACCATAATAGGAAGTAAACAATACTAAAATAACACTGCAATTAACCAAATACTAATAAAGTGGCAAACTTGATGAGACATATTAAAGACAAACCTATTGCCAGAACGAGCAAAACAAACATACATACTTAAGGAACAGCAGGCAACAGCACTGCAGTGATGTGTATTGAAATAAGCGAAAGTGCTTATCTGTTTTTGTTTCAGTCAAGTTGAGGAGAGTCTGATGAAATATTGGAGACTGAAAATATGGGGAAAATGACAGCACAACATACAAAAGAGCTGACTGATGCAACAAATGTCTGTGCAACCTAGCATGACATGTTCATGAAGGCAGAGATCTGAATAAATAAGAAAAGGATGAAGAGTGGGGTAGGGGCCAGCCACCCAGGGCCACAAGCACTCCAGTGCAGTCACACAGACTCCCAGCATGCACTGCATGCAAGTGGGAGGCTCAGAAGTGAAGTAGTCCAGTAGTGAGATGATATGAGAGAAGGGCATGGTTAGCAGAAACATTTTTCTATTCTTAAAACAATTTAGCGCAAACCAGCTCACAGCAGAGATAACACCATTTCCCTATGTGACAACCAGACAGGCAGAATTACCTGGAAGAAAAGTCCTGGTTTATTGACTCTCTCTACTCACAGACATTGACTTCCATCCTGCTCAACCGCTTGAAGTTCTGATGGCTTCATGTGCCTTCGCTCATCTTCGCTCGTCCCTTTAGCCACCACTGATCTAGCTAAAGATGATTACACTTGCTACAGAAATAACCTTACACAGTCTTACTAACAGCCTCATTTTCTCGATAAAGCAAAACCACTGGACTCTAAAAGAGTGATCTGTCGGATTTACAACAGCGACTGAATAGATTGAAATCTTTATCAACCAAAACCCCTAGGTAGTCTAATATTTAACCACAGGCTTAAGTAAGAAATGTCTGACAAGTTTCAGAAAATCAACGAAATATATATATATATATATATATTTATTTATAAATACGATAATAGTGTTGGTGATTCAAAGTTTGGTCCAAAGCTAAAGCTTTTGCAGTCTGTCAGGATTTAGCTTTTCATCAGATAAGAAATGACATCTTAAAACAAAACTGACTGCATATGTAAAAGATTTTAACATTTGCAAATCTACTCAAAAAACTTGTCCTTACATAATCACTGAAATGCTATGCCAGTATCAAAGGATTCTTAGATCTACATAGAAAAAGATAACATGACAAACTGTCTAATCCAGTGGTTTTCAATCTTTTTTACTCAAAGGCTCCCCATTGTCTAACATTATATTCAAAGCCTCCTCATATTATACCTCTGGTATTTCGGCTCTTATTATGACAATACTGCTTGCTTTCAATGCTAGCTCCTTTTTTAGTTATATTATATTAATTTTGTGATTCCCGAAAATGTAAGGCTTTGATTCTGAAAATGTTGTTCAATAAAACAATATTTATGGAAGTTAATAATACATAATTTCACTTTACATCTTGTTTTTTTTTAGATAGATAGATAGATTCTAGATAGATGGATAAATGGATCAATTGCTTTAAATCTCTTGAATCCATGTTTACTCTCATATCCAGATACAATCCCATTTCCAAAAAGCCTTTCCACATGATTAGTTCATAACATTTCTTTTATTTGATGGATTTGAAAGACTTGTGTACAGATGCAATGATGTTCTCAACAACCATCAATATGTAATCAAACAATCCGATACAAGTGAGAGAACTTAAATAGTGGCAACAATCTCTTGAAAATTCCTAAATCTTTCCTACAGAGTGAACAAATAGCTTGAAACTATTGATGAGCCAAACAACATAACGGACTTTCAACATCTTTTCTGCTGTCATCTCACATGCTTTGACTTTCCTCTTACTCAAACACTGCAGTCTGTCTATGCCACCTGTCTAACTCTCTTACAGCGTTTTACTGAGGCACATTAAGTATTTGTGCCGACAGGCCATGGTGCCAGTTTTTCAGTTTGGCGAAACGAGGGCCTTTGGATTCACATTCAAACAATTCCCTGTGACATCAAGACAAATATACAAGAAAAAAAAGAGGAAGGAAAGGGAGAAAAGAGAGGGTGGAAAAATGGGTTAGGGAATATGGCCTTCACTCCCCTGCCCAATAATTGTGGCTGATTAAGGTGTACCCACTAAATGTTTTCAAATACTAGAAGTCACATTTTGCATTGTATTGTGTCAGAAGTGTAATAACATTGTGAAATAAATGAGAGCTAAAGATATATGAAGAATAAAGCTTGATGTAAATATAACAGATCAGAGGTGTAATTGACTGTACTTCATTACTAAAGTATTATTATTTGGAATTTGTACTCGTACTAAGGTACTGCTAAAAGTAAATACTTAATCATAAAATTATACATTTTAGAGTTTAATTTTAAAAAGATCTTCACAATTCAAAATACATAATTGTCCTTGCAAACAGGATTCCCAAACACTCCAATTGCCCTTCCAATGCTAATCAAATTACTTAATTAAAATGTTTTTTTCTTCAATGCCTTCAATGTCTAGTAAAAAAGAGGATATTAAGGCTTTTTGAGGGGGATTTATTTTCTCAGAGTATAATCTTTTGGTTGTTCACTACATAATTTACATCTTTCCTGGCTAAAAATCATATAACTGGTCTATAATACTTCTATGTCCGATTTGAAGGGCTGGATATAGGTTTACGAAGACAGGGTTGCCAAGTAATTTCTAAATGAATGCCTATTTCAAAAGCTAAGAAAAATGGTTACATTTTGATACCTAAGCACAATTAAATGTGAAAAAGTTTCACTCAAGAATGTTTTCAGATATTTTGACACTTCAGTAGCCAAACATAAATAGCCAAATAACAATTTCTTTAACAAAAAGTACAATTTCTCTGTAATACTTACACCCCTGATACAGACTACTATAAATACAATGAACAGTATTAGATTGATGCATCTAATGTGTGCGGATAAGTTCAACACAGAGAGTGATGTATGAATATGGGGGTTTGGTTGGGGTGTTCTGATCATATGTCAGCTTTTCAAAAAGCATTTCGGCTTTTAAGAGGCAGAGGGCTGGATTTCAGCAGAGGTCAAATATGTGGCCACCAGATGCTGCTGCTAGATGCCTACCTTGATTTTCTCAGAGCTTCCTCATCAGGGTCTTGCACTGCAGAAGAGTAAAGACAAGGAGAGAACTTGTAAAACTCTACACAACAAATCAAAATCTATAGCAAAATAAAAGGAAAGTGACAAAAACAGGCAGGCAGACTCACTGTATTCAGTTCCAGTAATGTGGGCGAGGTAGCGGAAGGACTTGGACTGCAGCTGGGCGGCTCTTTTAGTCCATTCAGATGGCCCCAGTTCATTGTTTTCACTGGGAATGACAGCCTGATACACTGGGGAAGCACTGTCTATAACATGGTCTTTAACTGGCAGATTACTGCAACCACAGAAAAAGCCGGTTTTGTGAAACACACACTTTCTTTTCAGCAAGACAGGGAACATCAGCAAAATAACTGTCATATGTTTTTTTTGTGGTAATTTTTGTATTAAAATTGGATTCAAATTTACCTATTCTGACTAATTTACTGCCATTATTACACATTTACGATGTACTGCATTTAACATGTCTGTTAACACTGATTTATACATACCGTGTATTGATAAATATCCAGCATACTTAATAAATGTTCTAATGAACAATGAAGCATGGGCAATGTGGCCTGAAGCTTGCGTAACACACATTATATCTCTTACCCAGAAGAATGACAGAGCAGAGCATTCAGAAATTTGTTTGTTGACATCTAAAACTCAATCGCTGACTGATTTCCTGTAACCTCTTGTAAGCCTCACAATTTTAAACACGTTTTCACCAAAAACAGTCAATGTCACCTAGCAGCAAGATTAAGGGTTTCGGAGGAACAGTTGAATGGTTAAGAACCAATGAAATCGAACTGAAAGGTGCGATCTGAAAAGGAGGAGCAGTATGTGATGCCATCGTTGCATTAGGCCAAATAAAAAGACAAAATCCAGCTATTTTAAAATTATACCATGTGCATTTCAGAAGTCAAGATGCTCCAAATCAATCAAAGGGAGGTTAGAGGAAGAGATGAGAGATAAATAGATAATGTGGTAATCAGGCATGCAATGCGCACGGGAGGAGACGAAAAGAGGGTGCTTATATCAAACAGATGGATCAGGCTACTTACGATAGTGGAGAGTCAATTTCATTGCTGCCAGGCAGGGCCATTGAGATTGGACACATGTAGACGGGGGGACAGGGTACATGATGTACAGTGTGATGGATAGAGGAAGCGATGGATGATCGGGAATGGAGTGAGAAATGGAAAATTAGATAAAGCTTCTATGCTATGCATTAGACAAGGCTTCTGACACGAGACCGAAAGCCTAATCTCTCATTGTCATGATTTCAAACCACACAGAGACCATAAAACATCAAAATACTGGCACCAACAAACATAGAAATATGTAGATCATGGCTGAAACTCATTCCCAGTGGATATACAGAAGACAAAAAGAGCACAACTCACAGTACAGATTACCAAAACACACAATATAAAAGCAATCATACAGTTCAAAATTTTGGGGTCGGTAAGATTTTACTTACTGAATAAAAGTATTCATTTCTTTCAAAGAGAAAATCTAACTGACCAAAAACTTTTGAACGGTAGTGATGCCATGATTCCTAACTTTCCTATAAATTCCCATCATCATTCCTATTTGTTTGCATCATTTATTCACTGTAAAGCTGCCTTGAAACGATCTATATCGCGCTATACAAATATATATATAAAGGTGACTTGACTTGAAAAGCACACAAAAATCCAGCTGGTTCCACAGAAACTACACATAGCATTGAAGACTGAGAAAACTGCCTTTTTTCTGCTTCTGTAGGCCAACATGTTCACAGCATTCAATTCACATCACTATCATTTTGATAATGTTAAAATGAGGAAGAGTGAGACTACTGTATATCCAGTCTATGAACAGACATCCTTTGGAAGTCTTTAGCCTCGTGAGCATTAGCAGATAGCACTGGCCTACTCAAGCGTGGCTGTTTGGCAGGCATTATGTGGGCGAATGTGTGTCATGCAGGGCACAGGAGGAGGTAGAGGACGCAGTTAGGTGCACTAGATCTTACCCGGACATCTCGCTACCCCTGGCCTGGGACTGGCCAGCTATGGCATCCATAATAGCATCCTGGGAGTACATGCTGATGGGGGTGTTGTACTGGGCATGGATGATGGTGGCCTTGCCTCCAGGCCCCTTCACCTCAATGGGCTTATTGGTGGAGAGGGCAGAGTCCTTCAGAGCTATAGGGTTGAAGCTGGACAGGTACTCATTGCTGTGCAAGTGAGGGAAAGGTGATAAGGGATGAGTATGGGTAGAAGAGAGACAACAGAGACAAAATGGAGGTTAGAGTGAGTGTAAGAGAAAGGGAGTGAGGAAAGTGAATTGGTGATGAAAGGTAAGAACCCTTGGTTGATAATACCAGCTTATGTTGTGTTTTGGATGCTGGTATTATCAATCAAGGGTTCTTACCTTTCATTACCAAGGTGTTGCAGGTGAGGCGAAATTAGTTAAACCATAGTACGGTATTAATTAAATAAATAAATAAAAGGCCCAGTCTAGTTTTTTAAGGTAGAAAAAACACATCAAAAATGTTTTACACAGCAAAAGATTACTACTACACACGACGCATACAATGACTTGTATAACTACAGCAAGCAGAACAACATAGCACACAAAAAGGCATGGGAATCTGCAAGAATTGAACAAATCCAGTCCTGATTCGAATTCTACTTAACCATTCCACTTCCTTAACGCTTCCATTTACAATTTTTTACTACTTTAAAGAATAAACATTTGAAGAAAAAGTTGTTCCACTGTCAAATGACGAAATAATTTCAATAATAAATTCATGTACAACAATTTGTGCAACAAAAAAAAAAAATGTTCAGAGTATTTTAGTATGGTACCTGTGCAAGAACCATTAACAGAATGGAATTGGACATCAGTTGGTTATAGTATTTTAAAAATAAATGGAAACCAGTTGTAAATAAAGGGTGCATTCTTGCTATGTCAGAATAACTGTCAAGTCGACTTCACATCCTTGCAGAACTCATGCAGCCTCATACAATGTACACCCTGACACCAACAATGTCATGCAGAAAAACTCAAAATAGCAGAGGCTTCAGCAGTAAAAATGAAGTTACGCCGTTATTTCATAATTTTACTGTTTAATAATTATTTATTAAACAGTAACTATTGTTAATGCAATATTCTGAACATGAACAAAAGACAGTTTAATGCACCAAGCGCAGAGCTGAACAACTATGTCCTGCGAAACAAATTTTAAATAAAGTCTGTCAATAAGGCATTTGGATAACGACTGTTACTAATTATAGTGTGGCTTTGTCTGTTGATACCGAAATATTTCAGTTTTTTAGGGTTGCAATGGAGACATAATCCTGAGTTTAAGGATGTGAATAGCTGAGTATAACGTCACATGTTGACATTTAGTAAATACTGTAATTTTCATATGCCATGAATGCAGTTTTCGATTCCCAACCCGAATTAAAGGAATTGTATGTAAGAAATGTATTTCTTAAAATCATAAAATGACCCTGATATGTAACTAGACATTAAGAAATCATGGTCTGATCATGGTCCATTTTGGTCTGATGCTCCACCCTCCACCGATCTACCAATCACAAAGTCAGTAGTGTTGTAGCATTCGGGTTGCCAGCTCTGCTCTAGTTCCCCCAGCAGCAGATACAAATGTGTCGAATAAAAAAATGTTGGATCCTGCAGCCTATCTGGCAACCTCGAGTCATGGGGGAGGGGATTCACCACTCTACAGTAATTTGCAAGTGATTGCAGTACCAGTTTTGGCCACAATCTTACATACAGCTCCTTTAAGTACATGCTAACTGAGAAGTGCCAAAAGAGGATCAATAGAATTATAACAAAAACATTTTCTATGCTAAACATGACTTCAGCAAGCAAAGCTTTAGCCCCCTAAAACACACACATATGTATTCCAAAGAAGTGTGTTTATATATACCCAGCACTGATTCTGATCTGTTTCTCTGTGTTGTAGTAAAGGTTTACATTAAGCATTAGTACACCATTAAAGCAAGCTTTGATTGCACAGGAAGACAAATCTCACTAACCACACTGTATTGTTGATAACACACCACAAAGGCAGTTCCAAACAATTCCATGCACGTATACCACACAGAGTACTACAACGTTATGCCAGGACTGTTACTAACTTGGCAGGAGTGTTGGTAATAACCTACAATGGGTGAAAGGAAACAGAAACAAGTGCATTGGTTAGCAACTCATTTAAGATTTAACGTGGAGGGGTTGTGCCAAAGAAAGTTATTCAGGATGTGGAATCTCCTCAATTTTTTAAAGCTACACTGTGTGATTTTTACCCCCATCTAGCGGTGAAAAGATATACGACCATCCAGTGAATATTAGTTTCTGTTCCTCTCCATTTCGATTTCGTTTTAACTCCTACGGTGGCCAATGTAGTCCAAGATTAACATGGCTTCCAGTTCGACCTCGTCCATGAGTGTTAACTCAAACTTAAACGCGAAAGGAGAAGGTTGAATTAACGGGTATGTCCCTCTTTGGCTAATGTACTTTCAAGATGGAGGGGCAACATGGCGACCGACATTAGAACCCCTTACCCGTATGTATTTTCAATGGCATATTATACACTCACGAGAACACTTTATTACTTGAGCGAAGTAAATATACATTAATGAGCACATATATTTTTGAAAGAACTAAGTATTTTTAGTTAAGAATAAACTAAAAGAGTAACACAGTGTAGCTTTAAAGGTGCAGTGGTGCAATTTGCTAAAAAGCATTAAACACAAGCCATTGGTTGAGCCAACATTGGCCCAGTTGGGATGCTCAAACAAATGAATTCTGGTTGTGGCACAGAACTGACATATTTCACCTTTAAGAGAAAAGAAAAGGTTAGTGTGTTTGAGTCAGTGCCAATGTGTGTTTGGCGTGATTGAAATATAACATGTTTGTGCGCACACACAAAGTAGTGAAGCCCCTTTTCACAGAGGCAAATCAATAAAAAACTGAAACCAAAAGACTAGTACACCACTGGCCATATCTGACAAAAGAGAAATACATTTTCATGAGTGCCTCCTCGCAAAGATGTGACTGGAGGGAGTGAGGGGGATGTATCAGTGTAGTTAGGAAACTGAACCCGGACATTCCATGACCTTTTATAGAGAGAGCTGCGACAGGTGCTCTCGCACCCATCTCTATAGCGACTGTGTAACCGTATCACTCAACACAACAGCCTGAGATTTCCTCTGTGCTGCGGCACAAGCTTAAACCTTTTTCGCTGCATATGAATAGAGTAAACAGAGAGGGGTACAGGATATTGTCATCCATTTCCCTAATCCACCACAGTACAGCCAAAGTGCATTGCTTTGAGGTTACAACACGAACTGAAACTGTCAAACCTGGAAAGCGATATAGTGCTTTTAATGTCTCAATATGACAGCTTGCATTGGCTGTCGTGATTTGATACATATACACTACTGTTCAAAAGTTTGGGCTCCGTAAGATTTTTAGTTTTTTGAAAGAAATGTCTTCTGCCAAGCAAGGCTGCATTTGATAAAAAATACAGGAAAACAGTAATATAGTGAAATGGTACTCTTGATTTAAAATAACTTTTTTCTATTTTAATATACCTAAAAATGTAATTATTACCTGTGGTGGCAAAGCTGAATTGTCAGCAACCATTCATCCAGTCTTCAGTGTCACATGATCCTTCAGAAATATTTCTAATATGCTGATTTGCTGCTCAAGAATTATTATTAATGTTGAAAAACGTTGTGCTTTTGTGGAAATTCTTTGAGCAATAGAAAGTTAAAATAACTGTTTTGTTGAACTCTTTTGACATTATAAATGTCTTTACAGTCACTTTTGATTCATTTAATGCATCCTTGCTGAATAAAAGTATTAATTTCTTTCAAAGAAATAAAATCTTATTGACTCCAAACTTCTGAATGGTAGTGTACTTTCTGGTTTGACAGCCAATTTTTCAATTGAAACCGTCTGTTGGATACATTATCTGATATAACCTGATCACTGTACCTGAAGTAGGGTCACAGTAGGGACAACTGAAGCCTCAGCTCAAATCTGTCTCGCACATTCTTTCAGAGCCTTGAAGCCAACTAGATCCCTCTCTGGCCTGTTAGGGAATGGGGTCAATGTAACAGATGTAACCTTTCTTTTCTGAATGCTGTATGGCTGCTGTCATTCTTCTGTCAAAGAGCGAAGTTAGCAACCAGATGGGCCTGACCTATAACCGTCCCACTGATTCTGGCGTGAAACTCTAACCTGTTCATTTAGAAATCAACACTATATTTTTAAAATAGGACTGGTTAAGTTTTACCGCACCTGGCTGCTAGCGTCAGATCTCGCTCTATTCGTGATTACATACCCACTATGCATGCCTGACCCCGCGCTCTTAGCCCTTTCTTGCAGCATGGCCATCTCTTGCAATGTCTCGGCAGAGTACAGACCGATGGGGGAGTTATACTGCTGTTTTTTTTCTCCGGAGGTGGATTTGTCCCTCGGGGAAGCTAAATGTCTTTGAGCAGGGAAAGAAGCGTCTCCGCTACTGCTGGAGTTTGTTTTAGCAGAAGCTGAGAGACGCCCATTCATTTGGACAGGCTGATCCTCAAAGGAGAAGTGCATGTGTGTGGACAGTGTTGAGAAGGAAAGAACAGAAGGAGCAGGTCAGACGAAAGCTGAGAATGATTTAATAACTTATTGAAAGTAAAACAAAAGAGCCCCCCCCCCCCCCCCCCCCCCAAAAAAAAGAAAAAAAGAAAATGGCTATTTTACCAATATATATCTATATAACCAATCCTTTAACTTCTTAAACATAATATAATTGTTCGAAATAATGTTTCTGAAATAAGTCTCTTGACGTCACCAAAGATTCATTTAAATATTGTGAAATACATTACAATTTAAAATAACTCCTTTCAATTTAAATATATTTTAAAATGTATTTTGTTTCCTGTAATGGCAAAGCTGAATGTTCAGAATCATTTCTCCAGTCTTAACTATCACATGATCCTTCAGAAATCATTCTAATATGCTGATTTGCTGCTCATTTTCAATATATCAATAGGTTTTAGGTAGTGTATGCACTTTTCAGGAATCTCTTCTTTCGTGTGCCTATAACACTATTTTTTAAAAGCAAAATTAGTTTTGAAAAAAACTTTGAAATAAACTTTGTATTTACAATGTAGAGTTAACTTTTTGCAGGAGTTTGCAAAGTGAATACCAGCAGAGGGCATCATAAGGCTTTTTACAGGTAGTAGAACATTTGTAAGGATGTCCTAAGATGATAAATGTATCCTGAGTTGAGGGGAACCCAAAGTCTAGAATATATAACTATTAAAAGGAATCTTTAACTTTATGCTGTAAAAAAAAACAAAAAACTTTTAACCGTGAACTTCAGCTGAAGCGTTCTCCAAAGCCTAAATTACACATGAATCTTCATGAAATTAATCTGAGTGAGAGAATGTGGAATGTATGACCTGTGCTTGATTTAAAATATCTGAATGCATGGACATACAGTATACTGTTTGCAGATGTATGTAGAATGCATGACTGTGAGTAATGCATGAGTAATGTGTGACAAACCTTCTGATGGGGGATCACAGTCATGGGGGAGTCAATCCTTGATGTTGTCATGGTAACAGGGATGGGTCGCTTTGACCTGTGAAAAAATAAAGAACATAAACATTTAAAGAAACTGACAAAGAATTCTCTGGATCACATCTTAAACAATGTATGACAAAATTCCAATGTCCAATAGCCAACTATAAACAACTCGTGCACAGTTTAAGATAAATAATGCACCCCTGAACAAACTTGTGGCAAATATTTACAGTTTTCCTGGTCTCACATTTTTCCTTTGAGAGTGAACACAGTCACAATAATAACACAATTATGAATGCCATCCAGCGGTTTTTGTTGCAGCTATCAGAAAAATGCTTTTGTCCAAATAAACTTAGTTCCAAATTGAACCTTTTCAGAAGAAAAAATGTAAAATTACAATCCTTGTACACAAGGGGGGGGGAAGGGGGGGGGGGCTTTAAAGAATACACAGTTTGAAATGTCTGCAAAATGAAAAGCACAAAGAGAAATGACAATGTGTTTTCTTTCTTGTAAAAGTAAGAGGAGTCCTTGGAACATCACAGCAGGTTTACAACAAAGCAGATAACATATCTGACAACTGTTACAGTGTATCTCACCCTTCATGTCCACTTTATATCAACAATCTGCAGAGAGAACTCTGGGATCTATTAAGAGTGTTAAAGTGAAGGAATGATGGTCCAGTGTAATCCCTGCAGGTATGCACAGAGAGGGGAAATTACCATTTTTGGGGGTTTTTTGCTCATGATAAAGTGAACTAAAAGCAAACATGACTTAAGCACTAAGATACATCAGAATTGCAACCTGCACTGGAGAGATCAACGATATTTTTAAACTCAAAAACTTCTCACGGATGATTGCGTGCAGACATGATTTATGAGGGAGGTGCGCGCTAATCCAGGTGTTGCTCTCCCAAACACAACACAGAAAACTTCAGAACACGGATCTGTTGATATTGTATAACATACCCAGAAGATATCTTTGATTGAGATTTCACTTTTTTCATTTTAAATAGTGTGTATGTTGGTGCATGAACAGTATCTGCACAGTTGCAGCGCTGAAAGTTCAGTGTAAGCAGAGATATCGTCTTTTAAAAATCAGGAAGTTTAATGGCTACAAAAACGACTCGATTGGGAGTACAGCTGGGTTTTTAGACGTCACTAACCCACACATTTGCATCAACCCCTCCCTCCGGAATATGCAGGAAAGAGCATGGCCATATTTCTGCAGCTCGTCGAGTGTGTTAAGTTCACCCAGCTGTCAAGTCTTCTGTGTTCGGGCTTCCCACGGACGTCGTAGTTTGTCAACAATGGATACAATTTATGTTTGATTATGTTCCTGAAAATGACGATCGTAATTTAGCTCTCTTCCAGAATCTCCACGAATTCAATGCCGGATTCAACAAGAAACTGTTACTAAAACATGAAGCAGTTCCAACTTTAAAACCAGAGGCAGCAGTTGTTGGGCCACAACCTGTAAGTAGGCTAAGACTTACTCATTTTAAATGTATTTGCATGTATAATTTCAGACGTAATGTTTTATCAAATGCCAGCGCTGGCTTTATAGCCACTTAGTTATGCTTTTTCATGTCTACGACAAACTACGTACAAACATTTTGGACCTGAATTTATACATGTACTAATTTTGTAAATTTATTTTTCATGTATGTTTACTTTATGACGTTATTTTTCGATTTGATCAAGAACGTAAACCAATGCCAGCGCTGTTTGTGTATATAGTAGCTCGATGCTATTTTGTGTAAGACAAACGTGTATGAGGTTAAAAGAAATATAAGCAAATTACCATTCAGAAACGTTTAGTAAGAGCCGTGTGTGGTGAGGTTCTGCTTGACTCTCTTCATCGCCACTTTCTGGGTCTGATTCTGGCTCATACTGATACTGCAGTATCAACACCATTATTTACATTTGACAGGAACACACATGGGCGTGAATTTTCCGGACAACCTGCAGTACAGTTTAGCCAATCACAACACACTGGCCCAAACTAACCAATCTGAAACCACTGCCTGTTTCTGAGGGAGTGGTTTCATAGACTCAGGAAGTAAACCGGTCGTTCAAATGACAGAGGAGAAAGCAGCTTACAATAAAGATGAAATTTATGAAAAATAAGACTTTTTTGCCTCTACTACAGATTTCTTTGCTGACCACTTTCAACCAGTTTTTAACACAGGGGCTGCCTCCCTTACACATTTGTCACGTGACTCTACTAAGGTCATTTCCAGTCTGACATTGGCAGGCTTAAACTCCTCGGTTAAAGCAGAGACTGGCAGCTGCAATATTCCTTTACTAAAAAGTCCCACTCTGCTGAGGCTAAGTATGAACTTATTAACGCTTTCAGCTTATCCACTGTTGTCAAAGAAACCCGGTACACCAGGTCAGTGGCCACAGCAACCTCGGCAGTAGACGAAACTGAAAGCACCAGAGTTGTAGTTTGCCTGGTAGAGCACAGCTGTTTATGCTCTTCAACTCTTCCACTGCTTGTCGTCTTACTTATTCCACTTGAACAGTGTCCTTTAGATCCCAATCGTACCATCTCCCAAGACTCTTCACAGGCTTCTCAGAAACCAATAACCGATTAGTTAAATTAATCTTTCTCTTGATAAAAAAAACATACACAGGTCATGATCAGCAGTGTATGTTTTTTATCCAGGGAAAGGTCATGTGCTTTTATTGCCTTGTTTCCTGTTACAAAAAAAGAAGATATAAAAAGAGGATATATATATACACATGACCTTTCCCTGAATGAAAACATACACAACTCATCAGAGCTCACACACAATCTCAGTCACACATGTCTATGATATACAGTACTGAAGCTCCAGTCTGTTTGCGGTTCATAAAATTTCATTGATCGACTACATTTAACAGTCAAGACCTACATTTATTACACTGCAGTGAATGAGACCCGCTAACATCTGCATTCAATATAATTCTTTAAATTAATACTTTGGCTGCAGCGACAGAATCGCACAAGTGGATAAGAAAAAACTATGCCGTTCCAGAGCTGTCAGTGAAGATGCTGATACGAGCTTATGGCCGCCAAGACAGATGAAATATCAGTGAGGATCACAGTGTAAACACGGCAGATCATTTTATTAACTTTACCAGAAAGGAAGCCTAAACAAAACTCAAATGGGAATCATAATGTCTATCCAACAGGGACAGTTCTATTCTATTCTATTCTATTCTCTAAATGTTACTTATGTCATACACAGTATTACATTTTCCATTACTGCCACATCCTTCTTTGAGTGTCATCATTCAAACCTTTGGACAATTCCCCAACATTGTATGGTTTCAGATGTTTTTTGGCAAGCAGTATGACGCAAAAATGCATCAGCCCATTTTTTTTTAATTCAGAAGTTCAAATGTTCTACCGTTCACAGTTTGATCCGTGAGATTTCAGTATATCAGTAAGAAAAAAATACTTTTACTCAGCAAGACTGCAATAAATTGGTCAAAAAGATAATAAAAACCTAATTTCACAAAATATTTCAAATAAATGCTGTTTTTTTATGTATCACAGTTTCTACAACAATATTGCAGCAAAACTGTTTTCAACAATGATAATAATAAGAAATGTTTCTTGAGCGCTGAAGACTGAAGTAATTCAGCTTTGCGATAACAGGAATACTTTTTAAAATGTTAAATATATTTAAACAGAAATAAGTTTTTTTTAATTGCAATAATATTTCATAATCTTACTGTTTTTATTGCACTTTTTCAAACTTTTGAAAGGTAGCAAATTTGTATGCTTACACACACACACACACACACACACACACACACACACTCTCTCTCTTCAAAACACTAACAATTCACTGTACCTTTGCATGGTGAGGGCCAGATTGAAGTTGGAAGATTTGATCTTGTTTTGGGCCTCCAGGTGTGTCATCCCCTCTGTGCTGACCCCATCAATGGCCACGATGATGTCACCCTGAATCAGGTTGCTGGAGGCGGCCTTGCTCCCTGGTGTAATCTGCAAAACAAATAAATAAATAATTAAGCCTTTAAAAAGTAATATTTATACACCTCTGTAAACACAAAACTTGGGCAAGATAGTAATTTGTTTTTTATTTGCCTGCCTCCCTATTGTATTGATAATATCGGTTGATATACAGCCTCCCTAGGAAGGTCTATGCCGGGGTACTGGAGAGAAGAATACAGCCAATAGTGGAACCTTGGATTCAGGAGGAACAGTGTGGTTTTCGTCCAGGCCGTGGAACACTGGACCAGCTCTTTACCCTCTACAGGGTGCTGGAGGGTTCATGGGAGTTTGCCCAACCAATCCACATGTGCTTTGAGGATTTGGAGAAGGCATTCAACTGTGTCCCTTGCGGCGGCCTGTGGACGGTGCTCCGGGAGTATGGGGTCCGGGGTCCTTTGCTAAGGGACATAGGGACATATAACAGAAGCAGGAGCTTGGTTCGCAAGTCAGACTTCTTCCCGGTGCATGTTGGACTCCGGCAGGGTTTCCCTTTGTTGCCGGTTCTGTTCATAATTTTTATGGACATAATTTCTTGGAGCAGCCAGGGGTCAGAGTTTGGGGACCACGTGATTTCATCTCTGCTCTTTGCGGATGATGTTGTCCTGTTGGCCCCTTCAGACCAGGACTTTCAGCATGCACTGGGACGATTGCAGCCGAGTGTGAAACAGCTGGGATGAGAATCAGCACCTCCAAATCCGAGGCCATGGTCCTCAGTCGGAAAAGGGTGGCTTGCCCACTTCAGGTAGGTGGAGAGATCCTTCCTCAAGTGGAGGAGTTTAAGTATCTTGGGGTTTTGTTCACGAGTGGGAAGGATGGAACAGGAGATTGACAGACGGATCGGTGCAGGTTCTGCAGTAATGCGGTCGGTGTACAGGTCTGTTGTGGCCACAAGGCGAAGCTCTCGATTTACCGGTCAATCTACGTTCCTAGTCTCACCTATGGTCATGAGCTTTGGGTCATGACCGAAAGGACAAAATCCCGGACACAGGCGACGAAATGAGCTTTCTCCGCAGGGTGGCAGGGCGATCCCTTAGGGATAGGGTGAGAAGCTCGGTCACTTGGGAGGAGCTCAGTGTAGAGCCCCTGCTCCTCCACATCGAAAGCGGTCAGCTGAGGTGGCTCGGGCATCTGTTCCGGATGCCTCCTGGATGCCTTCCTGGGAAGGTGTTCCGGGCACGCCCCACTGGAAGGAGGCCCTGGGGAAGACCTAGGACACACTGGAGGGACTCCCGGCTGGCCTGGGAACGCCTCGGTGTCCCCCCGAGAGCTGGAGGAAGTGTCTAGGGAGAGAAAAGTCTGGGCATCTATGCTTAGACTGCTGCCCCCACGACACGCCCCCGGATGAGCGGAAGAAGATGGATGGATGGATGGGTTGATATATGTATAAAGGTGAATAAAGGAGAAGGCTCTGCATCTACTTGCTTTATACCCTCTCAATAAAATCAGTGGAAGATAAAAACACACATATATTCTGAATCCATGACAGCTGGGTGCACAAAGAGGTCTAAAGCACATATTTGGCATTCTGCATGCTTAGCGCTACAACAGATAATGTGTGCCTCTTGCTCAAAATAGAACTGTGACTGCAGAACAATGTTGCTCTTAGTCTACAGACCCTAAATCAATCGGAGAAAATGTGTATGAACACAATGTGAATGAAGATGGGGTCATACCACATGTTTCTGACAGGCTTTGTGAGATTTTTTTAATACCTTTATATCTTCAATTGAACTTATAGTATAACAATTATTTATACTTTCTATTCAAAAGTTTGGAGTCAGTAAGTTAAAAAATACATTTATGCAGTAAGGATTATTTTATTAAATTGATCAAAAGTTACAGTAAAGACTTTTATAATGTTACAAAACATTTCAATTTCAAAATAAATGCTGTTCATTTGAACTTTCTATTCATCAAAGAATCCTGAAAAAAAATGTAGCATGATTTCCACAAATCAGCACGACTGTTTTCAACATTTCGTGACAATTTCACACAGGACAACAAAACACTAATTATTGGACATTTAAAAAAACTTGAGCAATTGACTCATTATTGGACATTTTATTTCAGAAAAACTTTTAACCAGAATATATTAGAGAGAAACATGCACACAAATAAAATTCCATTTCCATTACCAGCATATGCTACCATTGCAGTTCCATTGCAGAAATTATTTTTTCAGCAAAAAAAAATAAAAAGTCTAATAATGAGTGTTTTGTCCTGTGTGAAATTCTCATGAAATGTTGAAAACAGTTGTGCTGATTTGTGGAAATCATGATACACTTTTTTCAGGATTCTTTTGAGTTAGAAGCATCTCATTATCCAAAGTCTCACTGTGCTTGGCTGCATGGCCATGCAGAGCTGTCTAATTTACAGAAAGCTGACGTGAATGCAAAATGAATAAAGCTGATTTCAGTTGTGTGCATGTTTTCTATCTTCTGGCGAGATGAGGAATTTTGACACTGTGTTATGTTTTGCTCCCTGAGGGACTATTCCTAAAACTCCCATTGAGTATAACTGAAGAGCTCTCTGTGTGAGTGTCATTTTGCATCTGTTTTGATAAAAAAAAAAAAAAACAATAATAATATAGATGCAACCACATCTCAGCCAAGGATTTGGTTTCAAAAGTGCCAAGACTGCAACTTTTTCCAACCTAGTGACCAACTTGAACCTGCTGTGAATTCTATGTGGTGAAATCTTTCCCCCTCACGCTAAATTTCCGATCGCATGGATGTCTATTGAATTGTCAATAATTAAAAAGAAATCGCAAAACAATGGTAAATTAGGCACCTGCAGAAAAATTCAGTATTGCTGGTCACCAGTATAAGGTATGTTTTGCATGCTGGGACCAGCATGGGATGCTGGTAGCTGGTTACTAGCATTTTTGTAGACTATGCTACTCCACCAGCTCTGACCAACGTAAACGAACCTGGATCATACATTTTTCAGCAGGGCCCAAACTTTATTCTCTAGACATGGCTTTTCTCATTCTACTGACCTACATCTCACGTTTTTAACAGCAAAATGCATTCTGTGTGAATCGGGCCTCATTTTTTGGTAAATCAAAAACAAGGCATAATAATTTCGGGACCAACTAGTAATCAAGGATATCTAGTTCCTAGCGTAAAGCTAATAATTATTAGACAAACAAAAAAAATTTTGGCTTCATTTTAATTTGATTATGCTTTCAACTTTCAATAAGCGTGTAGTACTCTTTGCTGAATTTATCTTATTTTATCATGTTTATCCAAAAATTAACATATTTTTACACAATAAAAAAAATGAAATTAAACTGCAGATTCAATCTGGGTTTGATTTGATAATCAGTCATGTCTTGTAAAACAGTGCCATTGTTAGAGGAATGCCTTGCAGTGTGTGGCTACTGTGTGCAATATCTTTAAAAATGTATCGGTATGCGACAGCTGTGTTTCTACTATTGTGGTCTCGTCTACACTGTGGATGAGCTTAACATGATCAATGCAATCTGACACCTGGATGGACTTTATATCCAGGCACTTCGCACAAGCTCATGTGCAAATATGACATATTGTAGTTGCCCTTCTTGCAGAATGCATGGCACTGTATTTGATAATACTCTGGCACAAAATCACAAATAACTGAAGTCTGTCTCATTTGCTTTATGAGGTACAGGCCTGTAAGAATAAGTCACACTAGGTTTAGCAACAAAAAACAAATCTGCTGGTCTGGATATGTCCATCCAACCTTTAGTTAAATTGAGGTTGGAATGAACATGCTTGCAGTTAGATGGCTGCGATAAGTCCAAAATAGCTTTGAATGGCAGGCTTCTTCCTCCTTCCTTCAAAAACAAATGCTCTGAATGTATAACTATCCACATGGGGTAGCAATAGCAGTCTTTTTCCTGCTTGACAGCTGCTCTAATTGTGTCTGTGTAAATGGGTGCTAGCCTAGAGAGTGGTCCGGTTGTTTTAAGAGTTGTCTTCCTCTATAAATGTCAAGTCTAATTGCCTCATCTAGCAAGGGGAGTGTCCTATCACCTAGAAAGGCCACTGTGATGGTAGTGTTCATGTGCATCCCCATAAAGTGACTTCTGACCTGTACTCCAAATTAAATCGGGGGAAAAAAGTAAGTCGTTTAGGTTTGGAAGTTTATGAGAGTGAGTAAATGGTGACTGAATTTTCACTTCTGGGTTAACTATGCATTTAAAGGTGCTATATGTATTTTTTTGCGGCCTCTATCAGGGATGTTTCAGATTGCAACCAATTTTTACAAGAGCACTCGTGCTCTTGCGCATGCTTGAACACAAGAGCGAGCAATCATGGTACATGGCCATACTGAGACTTTCAACACACCGGAGAAAACATCACACAACATGCTGGAAACTCATGATGTAACCTGAACAATTTCAGTGTAACAGTAAGATCGTAGGAAGAAACATTACTGAACGTGTCTGGAAATGTGTATTATAAACAATATGATAGTAGTGGGAAGAGTGACGTTAGACTAGTACATAAAATAAAAGTTACAAAGCACCTACTTTTTGTTATCCTGGAACAGTCCTTTGTGTTCATTTCATGTCTCAAGGCGCGTTTCCATTACAGATTTGCGCAAAACTTTTGCGATATTTTCCAAATTTCGATAAAAAAACTATTGCGAAATGACGGTGTTGCCATTAACCGATGTTATGCTAAAACGTCTTTTTTTTCTCGCGATAAGTCATTCCAAAAATCATGGCAACGGACTTTGGTAGGTTTATAACCTAGTTCACAGCCATGCACCGCACAAGACATTATTATTACTATTAATGAAAGGAAGGAGACGTGGTATGTTATCCAAGCATTAATGGCAGGGAAAGACACAGAGTTCCTAGTGTTTCTCCCTTATTTCTGCTTCGATGTCTTGATGGCATTTCTTTGAGGTTTAGAGAGGCTATTCCTGTAATTATTGTTTCTTTTTTTTAAGGAATTTAATAAAGAACTCTATCTCGTATTATGTCCAAACGGTTGTTACAA